CATGTTGATTGTCAGTTATGATAATTATTGACTGAAACTCAACTGTTTCAAAACATGCTGTAATAAGCAGCTATGGCTATTGCTGGCATGTGTCTACCTCATGCCAACTAACGAAGACATAGACCTAGCTCTAGTCTCATGGTTTGGAGGGAGCTGAGTTCTTCAGTTGAAAACAACACAGTCTTACCATTCTGAAGAAAATAAGGTGTTCTTGTTCCTTCGCGGTCTCACGCAAGGATGAAGCATCATATTTTGGTCGGTGAACGCATTTTTGTACGGGTCGACACTTGCGTTGCGTGTACGTGACTTCTGTTATTGTATTCCGCCTGAAGGTTCATCTTAAAGAAGATGAACAAATAGATAGTTGGCAACACTCATTGCGTTTGTGCTATCCATTATCCTGTTTGGGTAGATGAGTCCTGGCCCTGGCCTTTCAGTTTCAAAAGAATACATCAAAAACCTTACATTCCTTTTCTTTTAATTAATTTTGTTAGGATAAAATGCGTATTGCTATGGTTACCTGTCCTCCTTACTGTTTTACGTATTTTGATCATATTCTGACGCATGTCACGCGGACTCGTGGAAAGCGGAGTATGGTTCTTTTCCATTTTTTGGATCCGTAGGCGCCAAGTTGGCAATAAAGTGAATGCTAGTCGCTGGTTAGGGTAAATATTTTCACTCATAAGGAACGGTTTTTATACTGTGAACATTTTGACAGGATGGAGAATATCTTGCGGCAAACAGAATGAGATTCATTGAAATGGAAACGTGTTTGTCTCCAGTAAAACGCAAAAACAATAAATTCACGTGGTGCACTTTAGAGTGGAAAACATTCTTGACATTTAAAGATCGTGTCGGGCTTTTGAGTGCTTCTTTTATTTCTTTTGTTCTGCAATTTTAGATTGCAACTATTAAATACGGGCGATTCACAAAAGTGCCCCTCCAAGAGTTTGCAGCGCGTCGACCAATTACAATACGCGAAAACTGTCGACCCAATGTGCTTGAGCCCCAAGGATGATGCAGTGCCAGCAAGCTTAATTTGTCTCATAGAACAGCCAGCAGTAAATGCGCTCTTTTGGTAGTCGACTGGTGCCAGTCTACGATCGAACGATCGCACTGACCATATGGTTGCATATTTTTGTAGCGGACGACTGCAGTGCGCGAGGCATGAATGTATGAGGGTAATCTCCACCACGTACAAAACTGATTACAATTCGGCATCCGTCGTCGCTTGATGATGACCTTGATGTTTCCTCTAATTACTGTTCATTTTATTCGATTAGTAGTGCGGTAATGGAGCAAAAACATTGTGTATACTGTATAGTCTAGTCGGTATTTTCCTCTAGAATTTTTTCAAATTTGATATTATATTCGAATTCAGATTACAGTGGTGTGACCAACGGGGCATGGAGACACGGCTCAAGGTTTTTGTTTTTAGGCCTATGCCCCCTGTATGCCCCTCCCCTCCCCTCCCGCAGAAATTATATCATAGGGTAAAATCTGTCGATGGGCCACCCTAGCCAGTGTTTACACTGTGGTCGAACCTACTGTGTTGCCCCTTGCAGACACTGAGGGCTCCCAAAACCCCCTGCAAAATGATGCCCGGGTTCGCCACTATCATTTTCCGATTTGATGTCTATAAACAGTGAAAATTGCATTGCCAAGCTGTAGTTTTCCATTTTATATGGCTATATGGTTCATTAGTCATGTTTATCCTTATCCGGAATGCTAGCGTGTTTCCTGACAGAAGCAGGAAATTCAGCCAACTTGGTCCACTATAGCATGGAAGAATAAGAACACGTAGGCCTACTCTATGATGTTTTTTATAGCAAGCGGCAGCAGGTAAAACATTCCCTTCACCCGTACCCTTATTTGATTTTCAACAGCGTGTTTGCGTTTACGCAGATGAGTACATTGGCAAACATATACATGTACATGCAAATGTAATTGCTGCTTACACTGAAAGGGGCTAGTGTGGGTTGTGGTCAACAAGCGTAACTAATTCCGCGAGATGTTTAGTGGTATACCAACACCTGATGGTGGAAACAACAGCGCGTAGACGGTATATAGGTACGGTGCTGACGAGGGCTCCAAAGATTTAGAGCACACCGGCGCATTCTCCTTTGATCACAGACTGGCCTTTCCTCGTTTATTTTAAGCACCTTTCTTTTCACACTGAGGCAGCAGAGTCATTACCCAGAAGTGGACAAATAAACATTCCATTAAAAATAACCGTGTCCGAATCAAATGGCTCCGGCTTAGCTTAATACACGAGTCTATACAGAACATGACCGCAGCCGCTCAACAGTGACTTCCATAGGGTGCGTGTGTTATTTCCAGCCGAATCGGTTCCTTTGGGACAATCGCCAAAGAAGTTTGTATACCCTTACCTGAAAATCAAGTTCCACTGGGAATGCAAGCTCCGCCCCCAATATCACTCTAAGCAAAACAATGCGAAAGATATGTTATGATAAGGTGAAAAACAGCGTTGATGCACCTCTACATGTACTGCAAGTATCAATCTTTTTCTCTGATGGAATACCGGTGCATTTTACAGCCCGCTTAGGTTTTCACCCGATGGCTAATATGTCAGAAAATGATTTATAATCGGACTGTTGTGAGACGCACCGATATAATGAATAGGTTCCGGGTCAATACGGAAAATAACTCGCGTGGAAATTGAGAAAATGCCCGGGTAATATTTGTCACCGACTTATATTCCTCTCCAGAGGTAATGATGGCATTTCTTTCATTCAGAAAGATTTATGTACATCACCAATGGGAGCTGCATGAATTATGAATGACAGCCAAATGAATGAGTTAAATGTATCAGACAGTGAAGACTTTTCCAATAATGTGCAAACTCTAAATTTGGGCTATGCTTGAACTTAACCCTCGCGCTACATCTGCATATACAGGTCACGTTGGGGCACCATTGTTATTTTCAGCACTGTACGAAGGACCGATATAAATAGAAAGTTTCTTCAGGGAGTTGTGCCCGATTTTGGGTCGATGAAATGATGTCCTGTGCCGAAGCAGACGTGGGAAAGCATCTCGTTTGCCAACTGTGAGGGGTAAATTCTGTCTGTGCTGCCTTTTTGGCGCGTTTTTCTTTCATCTCAAGAACTGACGGCATGTCGTCTGCGCTCTGACGCAGTTGTCGCACTGTCAGACTGCGTAATTTTATTACTCACCCCTGGACGGTGCTGTAAATGAAATTATCTTGTCGTTTGGGACCCAGCCACAATTTAAGTAATCACTGTACTGCCTTTGTGTTTGGTAATGGAACGGAACCCCCGCCAATTCGCATTTGTGCGGAGATAAAAGCGAGCGGTAGGATGTTTGTGCCGTCCATGTTTGGAGCCAAATTACGTCAACATGCTACACTGCAAAAACTGGGGTGTTAAATGTAACAACCCCACTGTTATCAGAGGACTACACCAACACTTTTCACTGGTGTTAAAAATTTTTGTGTCATTCAGTGTTACTTTCAACACCCTCCAGTGCACTGTAACACTTATAGGTGTGCTAAGTAACACCAGGGTGTTAAAATAACACCGTTCTTCAAGGTCATCTTAACCTGCGTTTGGTTTGAACATTCAGAAGAGGAGTATTTTCAGTCCAATTTGAATAAAGTTGACAGTTGGGCCAGTGTTGGGATGTTGATAACGAATACTGTTCTCTGGGGAAAAAAACCTGCTATAGGATCTAGGCGTTGAATAGTCCAACTTTCTGGTGGACACAGAAAGTTAGTTTGCAACTTTTTCTCTAAATGTTGTTTCCCAGTTTTGATGTGAAACTGACATGTAAAGGAAACGTAGTTTTGCTGTGAAGAGCGTAGGATGACTGCTTTTGTTCAGGGTCATTTTTCTTTCAATTAATATGCTTTTGTGGGAATATATCACAAGTGGCTCATGATGGGTGACAAACCAACAGGGGAAAAATTGCCCACCGACGATCGAATCGATACAAGTCCACATTTCTTCAGTGATTACAGAGTTTGCATAAAAGCCTTTTTAGTGGTGTATGCTGGAGAGTAAAGTAGCGCGGAAAAACCAACGATAAGGCCGTAGATTACTGTAGAAGACAGTCGTATGACCTCGTTTTTGGCGGGAATAACCGTCTGCCCTGGTTTGGCTCAAAATACACTTCCATACGCCGCAGCTCAATTACTAGCCAAACATGGTCCTTCCGGACAGCTTTCTACCGTTAATATTACCCTGGTGCCTCATCATGATTCCTTGGAGCCGAGCTGTAGAAGTACTTAAAGCTCGAAGTATCGGTTTTGGCGTGTAAAGGGTAGTTGACATGGATGGCATGTCGACCCATTGACGTACAAGAGTGTCACGGTTGACGTACTGTAAACGTCACAGTGTCGCAAATGGCCTGTGCGGGTACGAAGGAAATGGTTAGGTTGACTTTGCAGGCTTTCGCCAAAACTACTACTTGTCAGTTTGCTCAAGACGAATTTATTTTCGTTGGCCAAATTGGTGTGTGTTTTTAGGACCGTTGAGAATTCAATTTTTACTTTTCAAATGCGGCAAAATGTTCAATTAGACCCGCTGTTGTTGCAGCTTGTTGACTGAATCTATTAGCGCAGACACTGGCATCTCTGGAGGGCGCTGTGCGGTTTTTTATTAAATTCCTGGAGCAGGCAGAGCATTGTCTGCTTCGCAGTCATAGACCCCCCTCCATTACGTCATTAATTTCATGACATCTTATCGGAATACCGGGTTGGTTTGGTGTGATTGGGTACTTATTAGGAAAGAAATTAAAAGAGTAGATATTAACGGAAACTCCCTCAGACAATGGCAAAGAGAAAAAAGAGGCTCTTTGTTATGTAACACACCATCACTGAACCTGTGTAGTGCCCACCCTCCACGAAAATGAGCCCCGTTCGTCTCCTTCAAATACGGCCCCATTCAGTTTCGTATACAGATACAGCCTGTTCGCGTTAGAGGTAGCCGAAGTGTTGACTATTCTTTTTGTCCTTCTTCCAGGTTTGTGTTATGCTGAGTTTGGGGCCCGCGTACCCAAGGCAGGCTCCGCCTACATCTACTCCTACGTCACCGTCGGGGAGTTCCTGGCCTTCGTAATTGGCTGGAGCATGATCATGGATAACATCATCGCCGCGGCAACGGTCGGTAAGGCGTGGTCTCAGTACCTGGACTCCATAGTCAACGGGACCATCAGCACCTCCATCAAGACGCACATGGGCAGCTTCGACTCCCCCTGGTTCGGAGACTACCCAGACGTCCTGGCCTTCGCGCTGCTGATCGTGTTGACCTTCATCGTGGCCGTGGGCGCCAAAATGTCCACCGTGGTCATGATGGCGTTGACGGGAGTCAATCTCCTGGTCATCTTGTTCGTCATCGTGGCTGGCGCCTTCTACGTGGAGGGAGAGAATTGGACCGGCAAGGGCTTCTTCCCCTACGGTGCCTCAGGGGTGGGTACTGTCCGGAGAACTTTGGGCTTTACATCACTTATAAAACCTGTTAATATCACTTGGCGAAATCACAGAAGTTATCGAGAGTTTCGCCTCTCGGGTTTCCAATCGTAATATTGGCGTTCGCGTTTGCTGTACAATGAGCATGAATCTGACAGTACAAGAGACCAAGCACGTGTGTATTAAAGCGCATCGTGCCAATCGTTTACTGTATTATACACGATAGTGACTATTTTTAAAGGTAGCTTCCTTAGTGGAACACCACAATTATATAGTCAAAAATTCGGCGTCCCTTGAATGTGTTATGATCAGGATTCATATCTGTGTGCAGGGGCCGCATCTTATGTGGGAACCCATAACATCAAGTGGGTGATTTTGTTAACAGATCTTTTATAATCGTGTTGGGGGTACGTCTTTAGGTTTGTGCATGGAGGAAGGAACACATGTTTCTATGTAGTGATTCTAACATGTACTGATGTGGACAGCGTGGATACCGTTTGAGTTCGATAAACATTTTGTTTTGATATCCTTTTGGACAGGTGTTTGCTGGAGCCGCCACCTGTTTCTACGCCTATGTTGGGTTTGACGCCATCGCGACGTCTGGAGAGGAGGCCAAGAATCCCAGCCGTGCCATTCCCATAGCGATCACACTCACACTCCTGATCTGCATGGTGTGCTATATCAGCGTGTCTGCCATCTTGACCCTGATGATGCCCTATGATCTCCTGTCCCCTTTCGCTCCATTGGCCGAGGTGTTCCAGCAACGAGGAATGCCAGCCGGTCGGTACATTGTGGCGATTGGGTCCCTGCTGGGCCTGTCCTCCGCCATGCTGGGCTCCATCTTCCCGCTACCGAGGATTATCTACGCCATGGCCAAGGACGGCCTGCTATTCAGGTTCCTGGCCCGCGTCAACGCCAAGACGGACGTGCCCGTTCTCGCTGCGATAGTGTCTGGTATCGTGACCTCCGTCATGGCCCTGATATTCAACCTGGAGCAGCTCGTGGAGATGATGTCCATAGGTACCTTGCTATCCTACAGTCTGGTAGCCGCCAGCGTGCTGCTGCTGAGGTACCACCCGAAGACGGTCGGTCTGAGCAAAGACGAGGTGAAGGAGATTACCAAGTTGTCGAAGAAGGGTGCGACCGAGGAGTCTATATCACTTGTGGAGAAATCCGTGGGAAAGTACATCAAATACACAGATGCTGCTGCTCCTGACGACAGCGTAATCGCCCCAGACGACCCTTCAGCCGGTAAGCCCGACGAACCCTCAACCAGATCGGGATACAACGTGCTCCAAAATGGGGCCAGGGATCTGGGCGAGGCCGAGAAGAGAAAGTCCAAGGCGCCTCCAACGCTCAAGACTTATATGGTTGTGGCGATAGCCTTCGCCATCTTGGTGGTCCTATTTTGTAGCCTGAGCGCCCTCTTGGCCTTCGGTCTGGACAGTATATCCCGCATTGAGTGGTGGTCGATCACCCTCCTCTGCCTGTTCCTTGCTGCCATTGTGTGCCTGGCCGTTGTTATAGAAACCCAGCCTCAGAATCAAATGGAGCTCTACTTCAAGACGCCCTTCGTGCCCTTCCTTCCATTGGTAGCTCTTTTGTGCAACACCTACCTGATGTTTAAGCTGTCTGGTGCAACGTGGGTTCGTCTAGTCGTTTGGCTTGTTGTAGGTAGGTACAAGTTGGCTGGGTATCCGCCCCGAGGTGAAGTGCACCCCCAAGCGGCAAAAGAAAGACAGATTGTAGTAAGTTTTCCAAGCGGGTTCTTGCACGCGTTCTGCGTGTACGCAGAGACCATACATTAAGGAATAAATTCGTTATGCGTACTCAGCGTACTCCGCGTCTAACGCACCATTGATCTCCATTATAAACGCGCGCCTGTGCGATGAGTACCAAGGAAACCCGCCCTTTTCTGTTACGCTCGGAGCGGATACTACATCTCCAAAAGACGCCGACTTGGATGCTCTATGTAATAAGCATGCACAGTGTCCTCTGTTGGCAATCCAAAACTCATGTTTAATTAAATGTAAAGTAACAATTACAAGTGTATCCGAATTGCATAAGTACTGATAACAGTAATTTCTGACTGCATAATACATGTATGTATTTTCTCTTATGACTACTTCTAAGCTTATTTTTTAGTGTTACTTCGTAAGCAGATTTGCTGAGGAGTATTTTCTCAGGTTACTCACATCGTTGCAGAAGGTGTCATTGTGGATACAAACAAAACAAAATGTCCATTAATGTAAACTATGGTTAGCGTCTACGTAAAGACTGACTTTCATCAACATACTGTTCAAAACGTTAACTCTGGATTTTTTTTCAAATTTTCCATCAGGACTCAGCATTTACTTTGCATACGGAATACGCCACAGCGTTGAGAATGAGAAAAGGAAAGAAGAAGCGCCCTCTACGACCATGTCCGAAGACGCAAATGATGAGGGCGCCGTTGTCGACAGTCAGGCAGATGAACCGGCCAAAGAACAGTAGTGTAGTTTAATTAACATGATTGGTGTAGGCGTGAAAATGTCTATAACTTACAGGCTCATTGCATATTTAACCTTTGTTTCAATAACAGACTAGCTGCAAGCTTTCAAACAGAAAATAATTGTTATTAGCAAAAATTAGGACAGAAAAACTACTCCAGCTGTTAGAAGAAATCCGCTGAATTCGTTTGCTTGACTGTGTTTTAAGACGTGAACCATTTCCAATCTCTGTGTGACGCTACTATAGTTTGCATGAGATTAACACTCTCGTGAATTATGACCTGGAATTTACAACAGAGGAAAAATGTAAAGACGGGATATTGTTTTTGTCAGAAAAAATCTTATCACACTTAAAACTGTATCTCTCTCTTGAAAAAAAAATTGCAGATAGCAAAAAATAATGCCAAGTGGAAAATGACTTTGAATGTCTTGTTTAATTCGAGACTAAACAGTGCGTTCTAGAACATTGAAAGTTTGAGCCCAGTACAAAAATCAACATGCGGGTGACTCTAAAGGACATGCTGCTTTTAGCCCATGACTAGTGTCACGAGGACTGCCTTCAATAGGGAATGACTTCATCAGTAATCCCTTCAAAATTAAGCATTTAGTATGCCGTACCACACGCAACTCCTCAAATGTCAAGTTGAGTAGGGTGGGTGCAGGAGTCAGTGGATCAATAACAGACCATTAGTGGATGTCTGCGTCTCGTCTGATTATGCGTAAAGGTATTGATGTGATATTTTTGTCTCTTGCTGTGGTTAGGCCTACATGTCGTACTTTGGTAGCTTACAGTGTGCAAAGATTGTACTGGTGCGATCTTTGTCCGATCACGGTACTGCTCACGCGTCGAGCCACGCACCGGGTGTTGCTGATTGTGAGCAGAATGAGCACGCTGAAAGTAAAGATTCCATCAGCCTTCCAGACGCCAGTAAATTCTCATGCCGGATTTGGCTGTTGTTTGTCGTTTGGAATGAAATATCCTTCAGTGTGCAACAGTGTGTTACTATAAAGACATGCTGATAAAGTATTGTCGTGATTCGAGTTAAAAGGAGTTTGCTTCTAATTCGAACGATTCAAACGACAGCACGTTACCAAGAGTTATTAGGGAGGCCTGGCTGCACGTTCTACGTGCTCTTTTCAAGCAAACGTGAGTAAATGATTCAATTTTTAAAGGTGTAGTTTTGTGGCATTACAGAATGTTTACGGTATGAAAACTCTTGGTGGCGCAGTGTGTTAAAAATTCTAGTGTGGTTTTAGCTTGTAGAAAAATCTGCTCTTCGTTCTGAGAATATCAGCGTTTAATCGTACTTATAGTGGCTGTACATAAAGGTATAAATGGTGACATCAGAAGATGGGATATATTTATGTAAGTATTACTGTGTTTCATTGAGAAAGTGATATATTTTTATTGTTTGAAACCTGTGTGTGTGTGTGTGTAACGGCTTTTCTGTCAACATGTTACTTTAGTCCAAAACGGGAAGGATAAAAAAATATGTCAAGTGTTACATTGAGCTCGTACGTTTTAAGAATGTATAACTACTACCAGTCATTCATTTAAAGAAATAAAACAGTCGTTGTACGTGGGAATGAGTTGCAGTCTTGTGAACCGATAGGCCTGAAACGGCGACGAGGATCCCCGAGGGCGCCCTTCATTAAAACAGTTGGACCCCATGCCATACATTACCGCCTCTTTCTTTCCCAGAGGAGCTCCTGCCCGATAGTGATTCCCGGGGCTTTTCTTACGGTTCACATTTCTGATTTGCAAGTTCCTGCTCCCCAGGGGTCATGTGCAGATTCGCCACTCGGAAAGGCACAGTCCACTCGGTGTCCCGGGCCGCCGAGGCAGGCTAGCTTCCCGGAGGATGTTGCGGGAGCACGAGGCTCGTATGATAAGAAGCCTGTTCTGGGGCTCGTAGAACCGTGGTTTTGATTTATTCATGCAGCAAGTTCGATTTAATCAAACAGTGTGAGGATCATGAACAAATTTTTGATTCTCGGTCGAGATTCGTGGAGAATGTACGGAGACCTCTTGTATGGTCTCGGGAAAGCCGTGGTCATTTCCTGAGGTGATTAATCTGTTATTAGCAGAGTAGGTGGCGTAAATTGACCTTCGTTTTTGGAGGAAGATCAAGATCAAACGGGGATTACATTTAGGATTAGATTGATGATATCAGAGGACAATCTACGGGGTGACGTCACAGGTCAAGGGTCGAAAGATAAATCGAGGATGAGGCCCCGGCTATCCTCTTTATTTAAGTTCTGTAACCTGCTGTCATTTTGGTCAACAGCTCATGCGGTAGCCCATCCTGTCCCAAGAAGTGTAACTCCAAAAAGGGAGATCTGTTTTCATATCTGTAAATGCCCGTCTCTTGCAAGATTTTTTTTCCATAGAACAGCTTCTCTAAACTAGAACAGCGCCCTCTAATTTTTTCCATTTCCGAACGAGGGATGGGCCTTCCTTTCTTTTATGAGCTCGCTGGAACGAACTGAAACATAATTTAGACAATCTGCCTGCTTTTAAAACGTGGTGCATTTAAAGCCTCTATTATTTACGATTTTAGAGCAATTATAAGAACCTGCCACTCCTCAGTGAAAATGGCGGAATGGTGCTGCCTCCAACAGCTCTGTGAACAAATACATATCTACATTCTTTGATGAGTAGGTTCCACTGTTTATTGTTTCTGGTGTTATGAAGCTCGTTTGGACATCGACAGTAGTAATGGCCACCATTTCTTCAAAACTTTGTTACGGGTAATTGTGTGAGGGGCGAAATTTTTCCTTTTCTGTTTTCTTGTTCTTTTTTTGGTCACAATAAAGTAGTGCCTTGCAGGACAAAATTGTCTTGACGAAAGGATTTTCTAAGAATAGAAAAAAAATTTCGACTTGTCACTTTTAACGAAAAAAAAGTACTTATCTTATTTGGATTGAACATAATAATACATATTAATATGAATGAAAACAAGCTGAGCTTAATGTTCACGGTACGTCGGAAACTGCATTTGGTAATACGCAATTTGCATTGAAATGAGTACATTATACCTCAGCAGGGTCGAACCAACCAAACTGCAGAGTCATAAACATAAAAGCTTGGACCAGACTCGGCAGACAGAGCATTTTACCGCGCGCGTGGCACAATGCATAATTACAACCTTAACCGGCGTTTTCATTTGTGCCCGACTAATGGCTCTACAGGCCGGGTTGAGCCGCAGTCTCCAGGGAGCAGACGTAGGAGGCGCGCTCGATGAGCCGTAGCCTCGACGAGGCCGTACTTGATCGCTTGGAACCTGCGCAAGTCACAGTCAACTCGTCCCTATCACTCACTTGACCTCCCGTTGATGCGTGCCTGGGCAAAAGATTCACCAATTTTGTGACTGTCGGCTCGAGAAAACTAAAGCCCCAAATGGCGATCCGCTTTCCAATATGAACGGGAAATAGAGGCATACTACGGGCGAATTCGAAAGCGTAGCGAATATGACGTCACGAAAGATTTTGTGGCGAAATTCTGCTCGAGTTGAAATAATTATGTACAACTTTTGCGAAATCGCAATGCGAGTATTTGATCTGCAAATTCACGTTCGTGTTCTTTCGCACCAATATATGAACCAGCCTAAACTAAGAAGATTCTTAGGGTCACTAGGTGAAGGACGTACACGGACAGAGTACTTAATGAGTTTAGCCTTTAAAGCCTCCGTAAATACCTCACTTAACCAGGCTGTGCATTAGCAAAGAGCATTTTTACTGATCCCTTAAATTAAAGGCACAGCCTCGACGTCAGACTGTTTATGCTAATTAAGGAAGAACGCCCTCTATTTAAAGTACGAGTCATCTTCTTTTCCTATGTACGAGCGACAACAAACAGGACATTCACATCTCCAATGACGGCAACAATCGGACCTCGTCTAGATCGAAAAGCTATTTCCTGTGTATCAGATAGCAGTTTAACACACAGTAAAAAAGTAAACTCTTAAGTGACAATTTTTTTAAGCTAAGGCGACTTAAAATATACAACAGCGACCGTATACTTAATCTTTTGAAAGCATGATCCTTCGGGGGGTGGCTGTCATGATTGAAGTAATCCTAGGATATTGTTTTCACGCTTGGGGAATTCCTTTGGAGTTCTGACCCGAATCCTGTCTGCACGCCACAGGTCATCTCTGCCTACTATTTCGGGATTCTCAACGGTACACGGAACGCCAAAATGTCAAGCCGACGTGAACACCGCGGCGTGCTCCCCCAGCTAATTAGGGCTTGGTATTTGAATGTCAAACAGACTTGAATGTGTTTGAATGATTCAAGCCTATGGAGCATTTTTGTTCTAAAGAATGCGTTCGTACCAGACATGGTTGCGTGGGGAGGGGATCGGTGAAGCAGTAATGATGCAAATTAAAGGAATTAAATTAAATTTCTGGAAGGTAAAGAGTACGTTTTTAAACAGCCTCGAGATAACGGTAGTCAAAACATATCCATATCCTTCGAGAAAATGTTATGGTGAGTGATATATGACTGTATTAAATTCATCACATGGTGTATCGGATGTTCTGAGGAAGGGGAAATTTAGATAGGCCTACACCTCTGCGTACGCATTTATTCAACAAAACAGTGCGTGTGAGAATGCCATGCAAATTAAAACGGAGCAGACTAACATTCAAAATGTCTCCGCCATACATCCTTTCACGATTCACTGACAGCAAGCGACTGTTACAAGTCTAATTGCCCAGTCAACTCGAAAGTCATTTTCATTTTTATTACAAGGCACACCATCGAGTCCCAAGCCCCGCGCAGTGCTCAGAATGCCAACCGGTAACATGCTGGCGCGGAGCGCACACGCAATCTACGATTACACATCGCGGTCTGACGGGTTGACTGACAAAAGGCCTCGATTTCCACTGCGGGTCTCGCTAAATAAGATTCAGGTCTTGAAGAACACCGACAACTGAACGGGCTTATGGTTTGTAGGCATCGGCGTTCCCTTGCCGTCTACTCTCTGCAAACCTTTGCCGCCGTTGTCAAACGAACTGGGCCGACTGCGGTGCGTAAGTGTACGGTAAATACCAACGTATTTGTGTAGTGGCAAGATAGTGTACCGAGATGCAACAATGTGTGTTTGATGTTGTGCCCAGGAACGTAGGGAGGTTGCTTTACATTTTTTCGTTCAGATGTTTGTTTTAGAGTCTGGAGAAGACGTAATTACAATTACAATAGGTAAACCCGGTCCATTGTTCTTTGTTTCTTGCCGAGCATGTGTGTTCAATATGATGCAAACGAAAATTTCCTACGCAGTATATTCACATAAAGATGAGTGATAGACAACATTTTCTCTTTTTCAATTTCTTCAGCTGGTATACCATAGACAATAACACCGGGTGGATGATTATTGGAAAGCAAGGGAGTTGTATCAGATGTTTATTCAAAATAAGTACTTGTAATGGCTACCTGCAGCGACAACAGAAGTGCTGCTGTAAATTTAGATAAAGATGTTGAAAGCAAATATTGGCGGAATTGGCGTGGACGTTCTGCGTCTCACAGAACCGACGATTTCGCCAACCTTGGTTGCAAGAAGTAAAACGTGTACATATTATGAAGATAACAAAACCCTGGCATGTGACACAGAACGGTTGTCATAGCTGCGGGCACTATTATCATAGAGGAAGGGATGCTCGTGTCTGATGTCATCTGCAGCCGCGCCATTTACATACCTGGCGACGCGTGCCATTTTGTATCGTATAAAATACTGATTCAGTTCACGTTTGTTGGAGATTTATGCGGGGAAAGGTTGCTCAGTTAAACGCTCTCCGTGCCCATGGTATACATGTATACAGTCCCCCTACCAGTACAAAAACAGACTGGGTGGTAACATGTATCAGTCATCCTTGAATAGACAAGGTTTGGCTATGGTCATACATAATGGGAGGAGTGCAATATTCAGTCTGGTGAATAGTATTCAGAATTTATGGTTGATTGGGTTCCTGGTATTGTCATTATAGATAAGCAGGGATCTCTTTCGTGTGTGACTGAAGACGCGGAGGTCTGCTTCGTGTCATTAATGAAGAATGAGGATAAATTAGCACTGAATTCGATCATTCCTCTAGCCGAACAATGACGTTGGGTAATTTCGTGATTTAACCAATTTCGCTTGGGGGGCGAAAGACTACTTCCCACCATGGAGCTTACAAGACACGTCACGAGGCGAGCTTCCGGAACAATCACACGGCCCGCCATGTGCACATTTTGCGTGGGGCCACCCTTTCACGTTTTATAATAAAAAAAAAGTTTTCGTTGCTTTGTATCTATTTCGGAGTAAATCGAATTGCACTGGTTATTGTTTATTTTACATTTCCAGAAGTGAGAGGTCAGAGTTTGGCACAATATTTCTCTTTTAGGTCAGGCAGTTTTTCAGTTGCTAGAAATTACTATGCTTATTACCAAAAGCCTCTCTCGGAGTAGATTTGTTGAAGAAGTATTTAAAATGGACGGGGAAAGGCAAATTCTGGAACTTTTTCACGTTTATTTTTCTATTCAAGTGTTCTTGGAGCGTGTCATCAAGGGTCAATTTTCAGCCTCTGTTGTAGGTTGTTTTTTAAGACGAATCAGGTAAACGTGAAGAAACATGTGGTCTCTGGCTTAAAGCCCAGTGTGTGGGCCATCGGTGTGCTTGGTGTCTCCATTTTGTCCATTATGAATGATTTGAGTTCGACGACCTACAACCAATCGTTTTTTCTTGCACAGCTGAGAAAGAAAGAGTCAAATCGGAATGGCCTTTACATGAGCAACTAAATGCATTTAAAGGTGAGATGGATTGGAGAGCGTGTCGTCGGTGAAACCCTTCGTCAGAGTCTTATTTGGTGTTTCCTTCATTCACCGTGATCTGCATTTACGTGCGCCCTGTAGAAAATCCGTAAAAGGGTGTTTACACACTCTGTCAAAATGACATACGAGCAAAGATCTCGCACAACAGCACTGCGTAAAACCAGCTTGGTAACAATATTTTGAACCTCTTTGCAGCTGACCTACTTCTGCATAACTACTGCGTCAGTACCATACCGGCTGGCTGTCTCATCAATTAAATTAGTGGTTTTTTTTCTCTCTTGTGGCTTCGACTGCGAGAGTTTCTAATCTAATTGATTTCGATTGGGGGTTGATTTTTGTGGCAAAGACCTCCCCAATGAATTTAATATCACATCTTGCGATGAAAACTGAGAGGATGAGGGTTCCGGTAGACTGACAAGCATCAAAATCATTCAGAGCAATACATGAACTATTCACATCGAACTAACTGATTGAAACAGGGAACAGTGATCATAATCGTGGAGTATGCAATCATGGTGGCATGTTTATTTCCAAATTGCAGTCATGGAGACTCAAATATGTTGAAACAAGTCAACGTAAGAGCGTGTCAGGAGGTTACCATGGAAACAGCTTAATGTGACTTACAAGAAGGTAGTATATTTTGCCGACTGAGGGAATTGTCGTCTTTGGCATTTTCATGGAATGATCGTCGTCTTTAACCTGTACGTGTAGTTGCTATCAGCGCAGGGAGGCGTCGTCTGTGACCAAACCAAGTGACCAGGTCAAAAGGTCCGACGTGGACATTGGACTGTACGGTGGTTGCACGGTTCCCATCAACCAGTCTCTTGATCGACTGACCGTATCCAGTGCCTACGCGCATTTGCCATCTCTCCATCGGCCGTGTAGGAGGCTTTTCACTAGGGCGGGTCTACACCGTCTACGGTGATGCAGCACTTTAGCATGCATCATCACACACAGACATTCTATACTCTTTGCGCTTGTCAAGGGGGTTGAAACCAAAGCTTGAAATATCGAAACGCAACCCCCCCAATTGAAATCTGACACTGAGGAACACACGTCTTGTATTTTTTGTATTTTTAAAATATTTTATAACTATTATTTATTTATTTCTGGTAATGACACCCAGGATTCCTCAGGAGCTTTTTAAGCACTGTAGTCGCAAGCCTGAAGAAACCTGTACATAGAGAGGAGACAGTGAGAAGCAGTTACAGTTTAGAGGTGGGCGGAAAAATCCAGAAGAATATTCCGGGTAAAACCCACCAAATCAGGTATAGGGACTGAAAACCCAATCCACTTAGACCAAGCCAGGAATCGAACTCGGACCGCAGAGGTGGAAGGCCAGGAAAGTAGAAACTGTACCAACCTGACTCCCTGGTTGTCCATCTTATTGAGAACCCACGAAACCCAGGTTTGTCAAGGTTTTATATGGTACGTTGGATTTATTACCGGTGTGGCCTATAGCTATCAGAACTAAGCCAAGCTATATGTAAATAAGGGAAAATATTGAAACGGGCGTTGTAAAGAGTGACAGTAATTACTGAACGCAATAATATTATTTCAGATTACAAGTTACAGTTGACAAATTAATTTCCCTTTTCGGAGGAGCCTGTGCGTCCCTTGTTTGATTACTGGCGGCTGACGGTATTTCATCACCGTTCTCACCCTACTGACCTCTTTATACAGTCCTTTTATAACTGGTACATGTATCGATCGTTTGATTTTCCCCGTAAAATTGCTTGTAATGGTATTGTGGTGTGTGTTGATGGAAATATGGCCGGCCGTTTAAAAGCCACTTTTTCCAATGAGTATTTTTTTTTAGATTTGGCTTATGCAAATAATCCTACCTCCAGGGATTGACTCGGAGATGCGCCCTTCCAAACTGCGCACCTACATCGAAAATAGCTACGGCGCACAAAAATGCGTGTCGACATCTGCGCTGCGTTCAGTTCTGTCTCCATCCAGGGATGACGGACTTTTTGACTCGAACTTGTTTATATCTAGGGGTAGAAGCTCTATCCTGGAAATAGAATCGCTGGGAGTATATAAACCGCTACTCTGGCTAATTAGATATTCTATTTTGCGTGAGTGGTTGCACCGCAATAACCGCAGTGACAGTGTGCTTGTAATTTTCTGTAATAGCAGTACTACATTCCGCATCTCTGGTCTTGTACGTTGAACAATTTAGGGATAACGTGGGATACTGCATTGAATATTGCCAGAAAAATGGACGAAATGAAGTTGCATTATTTGTATCCAGTATGGTATAATATGCACCCTAGTATATATTTTGATACATGTATAATTATGGGAATTATAATTAGCTAAAATGGGTCACTTGGAAGACATTCCCATAGGAGCGTGCACAAAATATTTCAAACTTTACCGTCCCATACTTCAATATTCCCTAATCCGATCTTAACCAAACTTTGCATGTTTTCCTTTTAGATCCTAATCTATCATCTCTCAAAATTTGGACGGTAAATATTTTCCTCCTTTTGGTAGCTGGAGCATTAGGGAGACATTGAAATGTCTATCTAATGACCGATGTCTCCTAATGTTGAAAAATTACCATAAAATGTCTCCCAAGTGACCTATTTGGAAATATTGTTTGCAGGTAATCATGTGTTCTACTCTTGCATCCGTTTGCGGACTGCTCTCACAAGTCACCCGACAATTTTCTAACACACTGATGCTGGTGTTTACGCTAGTGCTCTGCCTCGCCAGTGTAATAGAAGGAGGTGAGTTTTCCTTGAAAAGTTCAGTTATCAAGGGTCAGACAGGAGGAAACGTTACCTGACCGTGCACCTTTTACTTTGGGATTTTTTACCCAGCAGAAATCATCTAGCTTTAATTGATTTACATTGACTGTGATGACCCCTTCTGGCTCTGCGTTTCAGTTGATTTTTTGAGTGACATACAGGTTTGGGACTCACGATTTTACATGCGTCCAGTTTATTAAGTGAATTGTCTAGCCTGAAAGGGAGTGAGGCTCGGCAATGCGTATCCGAGAGATGATCTTGGCTTCAGAAGAGAAAAATATGACCTCTTCAGAATGAAAGCCATTTTGGTTACAAGGTCTGCCGCAATAGCATACCTCGTGGGCATTTCAGAGTCTATTTAGGGATATAGCCTGCCCCATGAACATAATTATGATTACGATACAATTTCTCTACCCTCGGTTAGGAAGTCGTTTTCATGTTAACAAAAAGAGCACTTCCCTAAATATTTATTGACGTATCACCAAGAGAAACTAATGACGTCAAGACTCTGAAATAAAGACAGCATGTGACATGCGCGCGGGTCTTGGGTCAAGCTCACTTTAACGTCATTAATTTTGAGAGCATTACGCGATGCTGGTTCAGCTCCTTCGGCTGACATTTGCTTGCGGCTGTTTCGGCGAATTTAATGCCAACACGAGGGGCATAAAATAGGTTACGGATGGTGTAATGCTGTAATATAAGCGTCCGTATAATTAGGTCTGCAAATGGAAAATGAAATAATCGATTTCTGAAAAAAAAAATCTTATCATAATTATCAGTCTCCAGAATCTCCAGAACTATTTTGTCCTCATGACTATGATGAGCAATTATGTCGACATGCCAACGCGCATTGACGGGCAGCGATGTCACCTCAGCGAATGGCTTAATAATAATAAATATTCCAACCAAATGAATGTTTCGCGCATACATTGAAAATAAACACAGGAGCAGATGTGGGTCTTGAGTCAACAGCTGCGACACTCAAAGCATATGTTGAGCGGCCACAGCGGGCCCACGATGAAAGGGTTTTTTTTCACCAACGATTCACAGTACACGATGGTGGAATATTGTCCCTTATGTAGACATAGACGACGGATCGTGCTCGAACGCGGAGCCGGTTGAGGGCTTCAGCGCTTGAGTGGCACTCTTGCACTACATTGTATAACTGCGTGCATTTTTATGGCGCCAATTTCGTGCCGCGGGGTGAATGTGACCATTATGTTCTGCCTCCAGTATGTGATGTTTATGATGTATTATACTCTAAATGGAGTAGGGGTTTACACGGTATGTTTGTTATTTAAGGCAACCCTACTGCCAATGACAAGGAGTGGACGAAGTTCATTACGCACTGCGATTTTTTTTATCAAGTTTTGACACCCAGTTTTATCGAAATTGTTCTTGCGAAATACCAAATTTTCAAACACACGGACAATATTTATTTCTGTAACCCGTGTGCTCTTTGAAAATAGTGCGCTTACAGGAAATGTAGTATCCTTACGCTCTGACTGTGAAAATAAAGAAAAAAAGGTTACCTTTGAAACATGCTATCCCGCAACCATTAATTCTGCGTGGACTTTGTAGGCATGTTTCCGACTGACAATTTACGATAACATGCATGTTACCGCAACTGCACGATTACCTGCAGTTGGCCTGGTCACAACGATGCAATCAAACTGATGCATTTTGTTAATTACGTACGTTGGCAATGGGAAATTGAAACTCGCCACCTGCGCTCGCCGTTTGGCTACGTGACTGGCTTCTCTATACGACATCTGTAGGCTATCAATTAACGAAAATTGTAAAACTAATTGGAATTGAATAAAGAAGTTCATTACGTGTTCTAGCCGTTTCATTACGTGTTCTAGACGCTGACCATTTTCCATTTACACTTATTTGCTGAAGTTTTTTATTCGACTGCGTACGTTTTTCGTGTTTTTGTTTTGATGCTTTATTTATAGCTTATTACCTAAGTTGAAAAAATGGCTTCTCATCAATTCTTACCATGCTCCATCGTCTTGATATAATATCATGTTGTTTGTACTATAGCGAAAAGTTGGTTATAGCGCCCTCTTGTGGTCGTGCATAAGCGCAGTTCAAACCTATTGTTGATAGAATCGTTTGTAATTGTGGCGGCCAAGCCAAGTGCACCTGTTTCGTATTACCACTCACTGGTTTTGACTTCAGCACATTACCATTACTTTACTTTTAGTTTAATGGTTGAATTTATTTGATGAACTTAAACACGATTGAGGCAATTCAAAATCCTTCCTCCCGCTGATTTGGTCTTTGCAGGGATGCCCGCAGCGCCCAGAAACCTGACCCTGGTTGGGCAGGTTTTGTCGAAGCAGGTAAAGATCAGCTGGGTCCCTGGCAACCCGCGAGACAACCTGACGGACTACGTCATCGTCAACCGGGCACAAGGGAGCGACACCATGACAGTCTCCCGCATCGACCCGGAGTACACTTTCTATACGCTAAAGGATCTGAAAGAAGAAACTTCGTATATCGTGTACGTGAAAGCCGCAGTAGGCAACGTGCGTAGCTTGAGCAGCGTCATGCTGGAATTTCGAACACCTAGAACAGGTATTTAAATCAACTTTACCTTCCACCAACTTTATATGATCCATAATAAGTTTCATTTTTTTAATAAAATAAGGCAAGGTCATTTGGGACAAAACTTCTGACGTCACACGTCTTCAAACACGTTCAGTCCGTGTGAAGTCGATGCTTGACGCGCTCCGCGTTTTGATTATGCTGACTGACAAACGGCCCATTTCAAAGTTCTTGTGCGAGAAAAACAATTGCAAGCTTGCTCTAGTGAGGGGAAAAGACTCAGTTCTCTGGAGTTCTGCTTTCACAGAATTGAATTTAGTTTTTGCTACTGTAGGAATCTTCTTTAAACGGTGTTCCATTTTATGATTGCTGCAAGACAGTTTTCAGCACTTTGTCTTGAAGTTTTTTTTAAATTTTGACAGCATACTACACATTACGTCTGGGACTTCAACACTCGAAACATTCTTTTGGTGTGGGTTATGAGTCGGTAACACTTTTTTATCACCGTTGATTTCATCAGTTTTGAAAAAGTTCATTTGCAGACTTGTACACCTTTGTTTGTCTGGTTGACAGGTTGTCTCTTTTTAGTTCAATCTTAACACTCTCATGGGTACACATTTTTTCTCTCTGAATGCACGCTTTTGTCTCGTTCCTTCAACACCAATTTGCACCGCTAGAGGGCCTGCATCGCACTTTCACCACCAGCGCAGCCGACCTCGTCATCGTTGTCATGGTATTGGCTCTCTGGCTTGCCGCCCTCTCTCTATTCGTTCGCACCTGGCGGAAAAAGATGAGCGGTGCCGCAACCTCAACCGGCGGCACTGGCACGCCCTTAGCCATGCGCCTGCGCAGCCGGTACCGAAAGCCCTGGATGTGGTCCCAGAAGTACCGGCCGGGCCGTGCCTACCCAGCCACGTGACCTGATGACTAAAGCAACCATTTACTTCTTGAGATTAGGCAAGGTAGATGTAGGAGTCCGGCATATAGGAGTCATGCAATAGACCTTATTCACAAGTCGGCCATATTAAATTGAAAGCGAGGTTAACCTTTTCATTTTGGGAATCAAAGAATGAAAATGAAAGCAATGAAATAAAAGTTCATCACAGGTTAAATTCAGTTACAATGACAACTAATTAAAAACCTGTGATTTACTTTATCCCAGGTTTAAAACGAGGTTGAAAAAAAATGTGAGTGAGGCGAGCACCCCAAATGGTCTGGCACCACCCCGTTTGACAGATTGCATTGAATTCAGGAACATGATAAAAACGGCCTTCTTGTGAAAAAGCTCTATTGATTGGTAAATTTTTATTGGGCCAAAAAAGATCAACATAATCAGTTTCCTCGCATATTTTTGTCTATTCATTTTACCCAATCACTACTATGTCATCACAGATGGTACATATCATGGTGGCACACCATTGTCAGCACTTCTGATTTCGTAACCATTTAGACCAGAAGGGGGCGTTTTTTTTTATTGAGCTGCTGCTTTATTCTCTCTGTAATTTTCTAGACGTTTATGAATCGTGTAAGCATTGGAAGAGTTGAAGAAACACTCCGTATCTTTCCTGCTATGTTGAAAATTTAATACTTGTTCAATGAGTTTTGTTTTGCGCTCTTATTTGATATAATTGATGCTTGTTACAGACGACCAGGGTCTGCTGGACGTTGAAGACATCGCGCAGTTGGACGCTCGGAAACGCGTCTATTCGCTGGTCACTGTCCTTGTCCTGTGGGTGTTCTTGGTGGCACTGTGTGTGAAATACGGGGGCTTGGTGAGACAGCTTAGGGTGCACGTCTTCAGGGGGCAGGTCACTCCGATGGAGGTCGACAGTGAAGGCTCCCTTGTCGAGAAAGAACTATGACTCAGCGATCGAAGGAAACAACAGCTTTGGTGTGTTATCGGTGGCTCCTCAACCCTTTTGTAGCTTCTATTCTGAACTAAATCGAACAACTGTCCGGCTTTCCCCATTTTACCCTGTGTCAACTTACAACCTCCTTAAAGTTACAATGCCGAAGTGCATGTGAAAGCAGGCAACCTTTGTGAATACAGTAGATCTATGAATAAGGACGTCACGCTTTGTTTACACATGCTTTTTCCTATGGCATTGACTTGGGACGCAATCCGTCGAGTCCCCATAGGAAAACGTCACATGCAAACAAAGCGTGACGTCGTTATATTTAAGGTATAATTTTTTTACGGCTACTTTCTCTCTTGCTTCTTTAAATAATTCAGACAATCCAACATATTAGATATTTTCTGTATCGAAACGTATTTCATCACTCTTTGAAAGGTGAACCATCACGATGTAGTCAAAGTATGTACTCTTCAGCCTTTCCACTGTGAGGAAAACCCTCCATTTTCAACAAATTTAACTGAAATTCTGAAATTCCTGTTCATGCGCCATTAAGGATTTGTAACGAATATTTCCTACCGTTTACACGCTTTTATTACTGGTCATTATGGTTGCGTTGTACTCGGTAGACACCCGTCTGTGGTTTGAAACTGTCGAAGGGCGCATAAATGTGTCCTGAGTATTGAATTTTGGAGACAGGTGCCAGTCAGGATGGCCGAGCGGTCTAAGGCGCTACGTTCAGGTCGTAGTCTACTCTGTAGGCGTGGGTTCGAATCCCACTCCTGACAAGCTGTTTTTGAAAATCTTTTGAACAACCCGAGACCACACGGCCAGGTGTGGGAGCCGTCTAACAGGGTAGTTCATTTGTTCACAGTGAACCTCCTTTGGGCATACCATTTTGGATGAAAGAAATGTCCTGTAAGATGGCTGCTGGGCAAGGGCCCCGATGCTTACATGAAAAAAATGGACTTGTATCGTATTCGTTAATTGTCAGAACAAGTGAAAATGTCGTATACATTCTTAAGGATATTTGTCCGCCCACGCATCTTTTGCAATTGTTATAAGCCTTGAAAGTGTTTTCCTTACTTCAAAATCGTCGTCGAAGAAAGCAAAACTTTGAAATCTGCCGCTGACAGTTGTGCTTGAAGTCAACACCGTGTTTTTACATTCAGTTGTGGTAAATTGATGGACAGAGTTTGCTGGCTCGAAGCACAAATGCAAAGTCCATTCTTAAGGTCTGTTATATTTTACATTTTGATTGTATTTTTTTTTTTAAATGTTGTACAATGAAAAGTTAGGTTGCCTTGAGATATACCTTCATTTAGCGTTTAGAATTGTTTGATGTAGAACCAAATATTTGGTATTTGATAGCAATGTCAATACGTCACTACGCCGAAGCACTATTGCACCGCTGATGGTGCTATGATGAAAGGCCGTATACCCCGATTATGAATAGTAAGTACCTATTAACTTGATCCTTATTCGTGTTGCCTCGATGGCTGAGCGGTCTAAGGCCCTACGCTCAGGTGGGCGTGGGCTCGAACCCCACTTTCGACAAAACATTAATTTTTATGTCATTAGAAAATTGTTAATTAAATGAACTATCGTCCTGTACTGATTATTCAGTTAGATTAGTTACCATTTCTGATATCTCGCTGTTGCAATTTTGTAATTGCGGAATGTATTGACATTATTGTTACTAAATTTCTTTATTTCGATGGAATTAACCAACTTCCCCTTTTATAAAATGTTGTGACATCAACAAATGCCAATTATGTATGGAATGCAATCAAAAAACGCTGTGATTATTTCTTTGTGGTACTTTTGTAAAAGTTAACTCTAGAACATCGGAATTTAGTATCGAACATTAGTTTGGGGGTCATGATGGTTTTGGTACAGGTTTTGCCTCCAGGCATTTCTCTTTGAACTCTGTAGATGATTAAAAAACAGTGACTGATACATTTAAATTTACAGCTATCGTCAAAGAGCATTTGTCTAGTCAGGATGGCCGAGTGGTCTAAGGTGCTACGTTCAGGTCGTAGTCTGTGGACGCGGGTTTGAATCCCACTCCTGACAAAAGATTGGAATCGGACTTTCTATTTTTTAATCTGAGTGAAATCATGCTGTTTGTGAATATTAGTCTGAGTGAAACAGTTCAGGCGTAATCATTCTCAAGACATTAGTCTGATCGTTTCTGATGATCATTTCAAGTTGCTAAGCCTTGAAATTAGCATATTGCTGAACCATCTTCTTCGTGAGTAACAATAAAAATACTTTTGCATCTGAAAGACATAATAATATATAAACTGTCTTAAGACTGTTGGTTCGCCATTTCATTCTCTTGAGGTCTAAGATGCTGCGTCCGGGTCTAAGTCTACTCTTTGGGTGTGGGTTCCACTTTGACGCATCAATTCATGAGGCTTCGTCCAAATATCCTCTCTGTGATTTTATTCAACATCTGTGGCTCATCATTTGCCCTTTGTTTTCAAACACAGATATTCAATCATTCCTTTGGTTTTCATTTCTTGATTAGTTTGTGTGCGATTGTCTCCACTTTTATCGACCAACGTCAAATCATTTTAATACGAACATAAAATAACAACAACTAAGAAAACAGTTCTATAAATCATCGGTTAAAACAATGTCATGATACAAATTAATCAATGTGACGCATTTGAACCGATTTTCTGGTCTTTTTCACATCTGTTAATCCAAAGAATAAAAATGGGTGGAAAATCCATCAGCCTATTGTTCGTAGCCCAAATATCAAGCCAGGTGCATCGGTCAGGATAAATGACATGCATCGATTATCTTCAATGCCGTTTACGCATGTATCATTTCAAAGAAGGGTAGATGCGAATGTTTGAATGACACGAATAGACGCGTGGTCGGGGATCGAACATAAAATATAGCGACTGGTGATAATTACACAATCGCCTTGTGATGCACGACATGGATTATTGAGAAGTTGGTCTAAGAGCTCAGTGGAGCAGGTATTTTCAAAATTGCTCAACGACAAGCGAGGAATTCGCAGCACATGGGTCGAATTCGCTGCTCTACGGACACCACCATGTACGTGTGCCATCTTTAACTCTGTATGATTGGGAGAAGTGGGCAGTTTTAGGCGTTCAGGAACAAGAGCTGTAGGCACAGGGCCCTAGCCCCCCGCGTGTGACAGGATACGATGGACCACGGCTGCAGTGGAGCTTTGCCGTCCTCTCCAGCTGACCCTCCCAATAGCTGCCCATCTGAGAACAGTCGCGGTCATCATGGCGCTGGGTGCTGAAGACTGGCCGGAATCTGCCATCATGAAGGCCCACTTTCTGCTCATGGCCATGCTGGTGATGGCCTCCACTTCCCCGTTTGCTACACAGACAGGTAAGTAAGCACTGAGGACCATTTGGCAAAGTTTACATCAAAGTCCAGATGAGCATAAAGTGACAAGTTGACGCAAATGGCTTCCCCTGCATAAACTGTTGTGAAACTCCTGTATATACACTTGCAGAGATCCATTTGGTCATTTCAGTAAACTTTTGACTATTTTGTAGTGGAAGGATAAAATTTAGCTTTTCAATTTACCATCCAAGTCAGGATGGCCGAGCGGTCTAAGGCGCTACGTTCAGGTCGTAGTCTACTCTGTAGGCGTGGGTTCGAATCCCACTCCTGACAAAACTTTTATTATTAGAAAAATTGACCTTTGAGTAAACTATGGTCCTGTAGTGATTATTCAGCTAGGTCAGTATGATATGTCGCTTTTGTTATTGCTGAATATATTGTCTTCACTGTTACTAAATTTCTTTATGGAATACGTCGCTCTAATTAATGAGTACTGTTGTGCCATTGTGATTTAAGGCTGCATACCCCGAGTACGAATATTAAGCAATAACTAATGGGGGTTTCGCAAGTAGTCAGGATGGCCGAGCGGTCTAAGGCGCTACGTTCAGGTCGTAGTCTACTCTGTAGGCGTGGGTTCGAATCCCACTCCTGACAAAATATTTTATATTATGCGATATTGAATTGAATAAATCATTGTCTTGTAGTGATTATACAGTTAGGTTAATTAAAATCTCTGATATCTCGCTGTTGCAATTTTGTCACCATTATTTACTAATTTTCCTTATTTTGATAAAAAATTAACCAACCGTCCCTTTTATTAAATGTTGTGATATAAAAAAATGCCAAATATGAATGAAATGCGATTGTAAAAAGAGATCCCATTATTTCTTTGTGGTACTGTTTGTAAAAATTAACTCAAAAACTTCGGGATTTGGTATCGAAAAATAATTTTACGGGCCACAGTGGTTTTGTAGCAGGTTTTGCTTCAGAGCGTTTCTCTCTGAGCTCTGGAATAACATCAACAGAGTTCATATCATTTCAGTAAACTTTAAAATTAAATTTGTAGTTGAAGAATAAAATTCCGCTTGGGTTCGAACTCCTGACAAAAAAGCAATGTTCGCTTTTTATATTGAAAGAGATTACATTGAATAGCAGTTTTTATGTATGTAACAACCTGAGACGAAAATATATCCTTTTGTTACAGATTCTTCTACAAAGGATACAACTCTGGAAGTTGGAAAATTAACATCTATGTCATCCCTAGCAACAGTCAACACATCCACACCAAATTACCCTAATCGACAAACACAAAATGATGATCCGACAAGTCCATCAAAGTCCACCACTAATGTTTTAAAGAACCAAACTACAACATTTTCAACTCCCACGGCAGAGGACGTGAACGGAACTCAAATACAGTCAACTTGGAAAACATCTGCTGTCGATGATCAGCTGACGCAATCAGATTCTCTGACAAATATACCATCTGATCAAAACGTGACAGCTTCGGCGTCCTCGACAGAAAACACCCTCACTTCAACTTCATTTTCGACACCTATGAGTGGTCAGACGACAGTGGGCTCAAACCTGACGAATTTGGTGCCGACTAGGACACAGAGTCAAATGCCGAGTACTCCATATCACGTCACAGATGATGTGAATGCAACGTCCTCCCAGTCCAGTCCAACATCCATCGGTCCAACTCCGGCTGAAGAAACAGTAAGCCAACAAGACTCAACTTTGTTCCACGTTGCTGGAGACATCATAGAAGAGAACTCGACAGTTCCATCGACAAACGTTCTAGAAAGGAATTTGACGTCAACTTCTTTTGTGTCATCGCCACATGTTGACAGTCAGATGCGGGCCGAGTCAAACTCGACCATTTCTGTGGGAGTCATTTCAGCGAACCAATCTGTTACTTCTCTGTCTCCTCACACAGATGAGACACCAAACGCAACGCTGCCCCGTTCCACTATAGCAACAGTGAAAGAAGGAAGCACGTTATCTTTCGGAATAGAGAGTGATATTCTCACTTCAGATGTTCCAACTTCAAAGTCATTGCTTGCTGACGTTCAGATGACAACAGACACAAACATGACAGCTTTGTCTGGAGCTCCTTCAGAAATCGAAAATGTGACAACGATCAACTCCCCTTCACCTTTCCTTTCAACCCTTGCCAATGCTCGGACGTCATTGGATACAAACCCCACAGTGTCGATCCCAAACAATTCAAACGGACCTCACACATTCGTTTCTCAACCCTCCACTCCAGAAAAGAACTCGACGCCACCCTCATCCACTAAGCTTCCTACCAATAGTCAATCAGTAATCGTCATAAAACCGACAACCTTGGGGCCAAATGTGTCGGAGAGTCAGACTGTAACTACACTGTTATTTTCGACAGCGGGAAGCAACACAACCTCATCCCTGTCGACTTCACAATCTCCCCTCATCAACACTCAAACAACAAGAAAGATCACATTGTCCCTTTCGACGCCAGACACTTCTCCTGGGCAAAATGTGACTGCTTCATCATTCCAAACAGCAGCAAATATTTCGGCATCGGCTTTGCCGGTACCAAATTCAACACCTAGCAACATCAGTCTGACCACAGCTGAGACCAACTTGGTGACTTCGGCGTCAAATGTAAGTGATTCCACACTCTTCAAAACTGACAGCAAGTCCTCGTCATCCCAACCAACTTCATTCTCTCCAGTCAAAAGTCAGCCGACAGACGACATAAAGCCGCCCACTTTGGTGCCAAACGAAAACGGGACTGCCCAAATCAATTTGACAACATCACTCTCTCAACTCAGTAATGGTCAGTCGACAGTTGCTACCGTATCAACATTTTCGGTTACGGTTGAGAAAAACATCTCAGCACCATCCCCGTCCATGTCGTCCACTCAACCAATCTACAATCAGTCAACAGTTGAGACGACATCAACAATTTCGGGGTGGAATGATACTTCTAATTCGCCACACACGACATCAGAAAACAGCTCCATTTCAAATCAGCCTCTCTCAAAACTCAGTAGCAGTCAGACGACGCTAATTTCAAAATCAACATTTTGGGGCAATGTTTCAACGCCACGCTCACAACCAACCACAGAGAGCGACAGTAGTCAGCAGCTGACAACAGAGGGAATGGTTTTGAACAGTACCACACCCATGGCCAATATTTCTGACATGACATTACCACCTTCAAATTTCAATACTTCAACAACCGTGTGGACATCGACAAATGACTCTGGTTCGACATCACCTTTTCTCGGATTCAGTGCATCAACACCCGTGTGGACATCGACTAGCAATCCTGATCTGACGTCGCCAGTCTCGAGATTTAATGAATCGACACCAACATTGGAAAAGACCGACAACTCGGCATCGACACCACCAGTCACTGAAGTCAGTGCATCAACTCACCTGGGGTCATCTACCAACAATCTCGGTCTGACGTCGTCAGTCTCAAGATCCATTCAATCAACACCGATAGAGGCATCGACTGACAATTCTGACTTGACATCCCCTGTTCCATTCCAAAATGCATCAACACCTGTTCGGCCATCAAATAATTATTCTCATTTCACTTCACCAGTTCCGGACTACAATGAATCAACGCCCGTTTGGACGTTAACCGACAGCTCTAACGTGACTTCACCAATCCAAAAAGAGACAGAATCGACATTTAATGGGAAACCCTTGTCATCAGTAATTCCAGGACACAATGCGTCAACATCTCCATGGGTATCATCTTATAACGCCAACAACAGTCAGCAATATCTTTCTGATCCAACGATGAACAGCACTTCAACCATTCAAACAATGTCATCTAACCTCCCGGCGTACGATTCAACAACAATGTCGACGCAAAGTAGTAGCCATGGCAGTCTGCATCAAACAACGATAGACATGCCAGTTACGGCAGGGGATATGACGAACTTAACATCGCTTACAACCACACCAACGTCAGCACAGGAGAACAACGCCACAGTGAGCGTGTTTACAAGTACTTTCGACAATACTTCACTAAAAGTAACAAGGGATACATTAACCACTGTCACCTACACCACTCTGAACGATTCTTTATCGACAGTACGAGGAGACAATGAATCGGCCGCAATGTCCACACAAGTCACTACATCCGCTACAATCGACACCAACACCACAATCTTGCTGCAGGAAAGATCATTTGAGGGGGTCCTCCGGGTAGTCTCGTTTAAAGGCGTGAGCGCCATTTACAACTCATCCTTGGAGGATCCAACCAGTTCCTTCTACCAGGAGCTTAAAAGCAGCGTCGAAAAGTTTGTAAGTTTTCGATCTTCGAACTCTTACCACATGAGTTTAGCCTCATCATTGTAGCTTTCTATCTTGGGACAAAGTTATATTAATGTTGAAGATCTAAATGCGTCATCCAATTTGGATGTTTCTCCTTTAGCTTTTGGTAAACAATCACTACATATTTTGAGACACGGTAAACAGTGCAGTATGTTTTTACTGCGTCAATAGGTTAACAGCATTTTTACAAGATCTAGTCTGACGAGGGATGACTACCTCGAGTGCATAGTGCGCAATTTCAGCAACGGGAGCGTCGTTGTCAATTTTGGCGCTCTTTTGCGACCCACGTCGACGGTCACAGAAGGTGATCTGGAGTCTGTGGCGACAACCATATTGGATGTTACTCAAGGAACTTTTCCTGGAAGCGATATCACCGTTGACCCAGCGGCAACTTCTTTCAGAAGTAAGTTCTTGATTCAATGTTTCCAGAATCTCTGTGCCTTTCCAAAAATTCTTTGCATGTGGTATGGATACACAACCTAAGTTGTTGTAACCCAGAGCGTATCATTTACTGTCACTTTTCTTCTTGGTGTCAAACCCCCCCCAAAAAATTAATATGTTAGGCCCCTTGCAAGACCTTCATGTGGGGGTTAAGGTGAAATTTGACAAATGCTTGAGAAGACTTTGTTCAAAATTGTTCGCATACAGTTGACATTTCATACAATAGCGGGTAAAAAGTATGAGCTCGTGGGGATTTTGCCTACCTTAAGGTACCTTTCATAACTTATAGACTAATTTTATCTGTAAAACCTTTTTCCCGTGACAGCGACAACAGGCACCCCACCGGCCGGGCCGACTCCCACCATCTCACAATCAGCCTTTTCAGTGACTCCACCGACTACCGAAGACACAAAGTACGACAATTCTTCGGATGCAGTGTCGACACTGGCAGTTGCTCCTGCAACCAACATATCTGGCCCCACACTCCAGCTGGAAGAAAGGTCTTTTGAGGGCATGTTCCGCATCGTCTCTTGGAGGGGCGCGGACGCAGTTTACAACTCTTCTTTGGCTGATCCAAACAGTTTGTTCTACAAGCAGCTTGAAGGCAGTATCAAGAAGTTTGTAAGGGTCTTTCTCAATTCTCTTGAGAAGGAACCAGTTGTTGCTGTCGCTCCTCAGATAATGGGGACCATGAAAATTTCTTATAAAACCCTTTAGATTGTCGTATAAAAATGGTATTCCGTTTAGGAAATCGCAGCTTTTAACGATTAATTAACCAACTTTTGTATTACATTTTGACAGCAATATGTTTATTTTTCTGACGTCATTTTCAAAAAGACTCAACTCCGAGTATTCAAATACTCAAAATGAGAGCCAAACAATGGACCAATAAAGTGCCTTTATAAAAATGTGTAATTCTGCTCGTCTGGCGATTTGGCACAGGTCGATGGCATCTACAAATTATCCTTGGTGACGAGGGACGACTACCTAGGCTCCACCGTGCGCCGTTTTAACAATGGGAGTGTCCTGGTGAATTTCGGTCTGCTGTTTCGACCCACGTCGACAGTAACGATAGCTAACTTAAAGTCTCTGGCAACGACTATTTTGGAGGCTACCCAAGGCACTCTGCCGGGTACAGACATTACTGTTGATCCAGCGGTAACCACTTTCACTCGTAAGTTTTAGCTGGCTTGTGACATCACGTTTAATTTAAAGTGTTGATAGGGCCTAAAGGTAACTGTAGTGACCGCTTTCGGGAGAGGGTTTTTTTTTCTTTAAAAAGTGACCAAAATGATTTCATCAAGAACTGAAAAATGTGACCCAGTGATAAACTTTTTGATGCGTTTAGTCACAAACGAGTGTGAACTGGAAATCGACGACTGTTCCATGTACGCCCTGTGCCGGGATCTAGGTGCGGACGGCTTCACTTGTCAGTGCTTGCCAGGAACAGTGGACACAATGGCGGACCGACCAGGAAGACTCTGCCTTTATCGTAAGTACAAAAATGAAAGGATGAGAATGGACATAGTAGCGAAAGCTGCGAAAACATATTGCCCGACAATATTTGGTTCAAGAATGCTTAGATTTTCTCCTTCCAAACTAGAAAACTTTACAATCTCAGCCCTGGACTCTGTCAAGCCCCCTCAAGGGGTCTTAAGTTAAAAGACATTCCTGCATAACATTTATCACTTAGGAACAGGCCTGGAAACCCTCAGGGGAAAAATAAGTAACCTTTGCCGAAATAACATTCATAGCTCAATCTCTCTTCATTTGAAAGCGACAACATTGGGGCCAGGTGGACAAATAACGACTGCGGGGCTGGCAGTACCGACAGAGGGGATGCACCCAACGACACCGGGGGTACTATCAACAGGTTCATCTTCTCCCGTGCCAAAGTCATCTGTTACCATGACTACGGAGAGTGCCACAGCGGGGAAGAAAGATGAATGGGGTGAGTACAGCAACATGGCAAATAGCTTCAAAAACACCAATCAACACGGTTTTAATATTTTTTCAGCATCTAAAAATTGTTTTTGAAATGGAGAAAGTAAAGCTAGCTGCTGCCCGAAAAATGCCAGCTTTGGACGTGGCTTCAGAAAGTTGACGAGCATGCCACCAGGCTAGTATCGGGACGGCTCCTTTTTGCAAAAGCCACTCTTGTTATGAAATTTTCACCTTGAAGTCATTAAGACACCCTTTCTCCATCCACAGAGGGTTGGCAGATCGGGCTCTTTGTCCTGGGAGTCACCGTTGGGATCCTGCTATTGGCCGCCGTCATCTATCGCCTGGCCGTGCTGCGCCGACACTGCCGGTACGCGGTGGACCCAGAGAGGTGCGCACGTCACTCTTATCAATCAAGGACTCGAACTGGATTGTTTGATTTAGGGAGGGAACTCGAATGATTGACTTTAATGTATGTGTGGTGAGCGAGCCGTCACCAGCACATGAAACACGATTTGTCTGTGCTTGCGTACTTGTTTTCACGCGTATTTTTACGTCTGTTTATAACTGCATTTGTTAAAAGCTAGATTAAAGCATTCTGCACTCTCCTGTTATACTGATCACAAACTCAACACTCATATCGATAAAACGTGTGTGTCCCGTTTCCGTTCAACTCTTTGTTCAGGCACTAAGATAGATCACGACAGATTGATTAGCTGTTTGAAAATTGATTTCCAGTAGCTTATCACACTCCCTTTGTTAGTTCATGTCTTTTTTAAGGTCAAGGAACGTCAGAAATCAAACTGAAACGGACAAATGTAAAGTGAGATTTTTGATTATACATGCATACGGATCAAATCTTTCACCCCCCTCGTTTCGATCGAATCAGACGTGACGAACAAGCCCGTGCGGAGCGGGCGGCACGCCGCGACCGCAGTTGGAGCTTCATGTACCGGCGTCCAGATGGCGATGGGACCCCTGACCCGGCCGAGTACACCGACGGTGGGTTTGGCGGGAGTCTCCTTCCCGCGGACGGCCGAGCGGTGACCCCGACAGCTCCCCCTCTGGAAACAGCCGGTGAGCATTTCGTGAATTTCTTGACACTATAGCGGCTATATGGTGTTGAACCCTGGACGATGGCCGTCAATTAATCGACCATGATTATACGGTATGTTAATCAGAGGTTGAGGGTCATAATAATCGCATTTTGCCAACACTGGGAATTTCTTGTTTAAAATGCTGCCAACAACTGTTTTCTGTGTTCATTGGTGTTCATTTGCAGTAAACGAAATGAACGAAACAGGGGTGCAGACGGACCCTGTCCCAGGGGAAAGCTCGTCGCACAGAGTCGGGGGAGATGGCATGGACCAAGAGGATGATGAATCGGTGGCTCACGGTCAGCCGACATCCACAGCGCAGGTGGATTGAAAACCATTTTTTTTACTTTACAAAATGAAATCTCTTCATATGCACGACATTTTTCTTCTGATTCTGCTCCAATACTGAACTTATTCCTCCATCGTAAAAAGAAAATCCTGACCACTTCCATTCAAAACTCCCTGTGGGTCCGGGCTGGACTGAGAGACGGCCGATTTTCTTAGCAGCTGTCCTTCCGTAGTAACTGCGCATCGTTGGTTCACGAACGACTTTGAAACACAAACGTTGCAGTCGCATCGCTTAACAAAATGAGCACTCCCGACCAACATGGCCCTGTTTAATCGATGAGGGGGTGCTTCTGCTCAAGATGGTTTGAGGATAATTCGTCATTCAAGAGCTGCCACAAATCTGATTTGTTCAGAGAGAAAAATCTTTGGAAAGATAATGAAATTGTAATCTCAGCTGACCAGTACCCTCATTAGGTGTGATTTTATTTTTCAAGTATTTTCATCTTCACATATCAAGAAGTATTAAAACATTATGTAAAGATCTGTTATATCTTGCAGCAACTTGAAGAGTCGACATCAGTCGATATGGAAGGAAATGGCGATCAAGAGAAAACGAAGAATGAGGGTGAATCGGTCAGTGTCCATCAGATCTTGTCCATCGACAAAGACAACATGAAAATCTCATGTAACAAGAGTTAACAGCATCTAAAAAGAGACGATTAATCCTCGAGATAAGGCTTACACTTCACCAAAAGAACAAAAATTATTCTGATGGCGTCAGGCATGCGTTGCACTACCAATACGGCCGTTTCACAATAGTGCACCACCAAGAGTTTGCAAAATTTGTCGACCCAATGCGCGTTTGGAAAGGGTCAACAACTTTTCGTGCGTTATGATTGGCCAATGTGTTGGAAACTCTTGGTGGCGCACTATTGTGAATCGCCCGTATTAAAAGTCGCTCTCGCTGGAAAATTTCCCTTTTCAGTCAATGTTTTCCTTATTCAAAGTTATTTTCTCTTTTCTCTCCAGACGTCAGATGGCTGCATTGTGATGTAGCAGCAAACAAGAGGAATCGCAGCGGCGGATGTTTGAAGTATGACGAACAAGAACAATCATGCACATTCTCACTGTCCGACCTGCAGGTCATTTTGGTCGCGCTACACGGAAAAAATTGATGCCAAAATGTATGTGCATAAAAGTAGTAGAACAACACGCAACATACAGCTTCCTATATTCTGATTATATTTTACGGCTAGGAACAAGGAATTTTTTTCACACAATATAAAAATATGCGTACTAGTTTTAAGGCTTTGTATAATATTTTGAAGTACTAACAAATAGGGGCAATTCACAACAGTGCGCCACCATGAGTTTGCAACGCGTTGGCCAATCACAGTGCGCGAAATTTGTCAACCCTTTCCGAACGCACATTGGGTCGACAAATTTCATGCATCGTGATGGGTGCAATCTCTTGGTGGCGCACTATTGTGAAACGGCGTATTGAGAAGTGTAGTCAAACATGCATTTCAAAACAGCTTTGTATTTTAAATATAAATGTTTACTTTACGAATAGGGTGAAATTCTGTAGGGTGTGACCAGGCAATCGGTGACGGTGCAAAATGAAAATTTCAGACGGTACTCTACTTTGAAAGTTTCTGTGTTGCCAGGTTTTTAAAAAATGCGGTTTGAACGGGCATGAGTTTTACATACCGCTTGCTGCATCGGCTACAAGACTGTTCGATAAGAATGAACCAGTACGGTATGAGAACAGCGCACTACTCCGGAGGTAATTCGGGAGCGGCGACACGCGCGCGCAACGGTGTGTCCTATAACGATTGTCCCAATTATATAATATAATATATAACATATATGTAATTTAAAAGCATTTGCATACGAATAGAATGCCTAAATACTGTGATATTATATTATATCATGTTGATATGTTATAAATGTGTATGTAAAGCGAAAATGAAGAATTTCCGATGCTTTTCTTGTCAATAAAGATTTCAATTGAATTGAACTAAAGCGCTACTTGTACGCCAACTCTGCGCGTTCTCTTTATTCCCGAATGACCGTACATTTTTGAAATACCGAACGGGCTCATTCTCGGAACAATCTTCTAATGTAAGCACCGTCAGACAAAAATGGTTCGCCCCAGAATTATGCAAGTCACTGTTCATCACCCAAATTAGTTTGTTTTTAATTTTTTTTTTTATAAAACGACCAAATTTTTCAATCATCTTGTCATGATGTGAGTTTCACTTAGCATTATGCTTCAGTGCATGCCATCTGTGCTTATGTTTCCACTTAATAGACGGTATTCGTAGGGGACCCAATTTCAGTCGGATTCCTCAACGTAGTGTATTCATTTGAAAAGTTCAAATTAAAAAAAAACAGCCTTTATTCTTTCATTAATCCTCCCTCAAATTAAACCTGGTACCATCTCATTAATGGTTTCAAATGTAAACAATACGTTCAGGAATACGACTGAAATTGGGTTTCCCGCGAATACGGTCTATTGTTCCATTTAAAAGTTGCCTCTTTCGATTTATTTAAAATTGAATAGCTTGTTTATTTCTTGTAGAGTATACACGTACTAAATTCATTTAAATTAAGTCCGCAGTGTAGCATTTTAGATACATAATTTCATTTGATTTGTCTGTACTAAAAATAAATTGGTTGAAAAAAATTTCCAGCTGTTAAAGGTGCATTTAAATTTTGATTCTAATTTGATGGTTGTGATTTATGTGTAAATAAAAAACATTACCACTAGGTCTCCCTTCTTTGGAAAGAGCCACTGAAAACTCAAAGTTTCTCCTCACTTTGTTAATTAATTGGCACCGATGACATCAAACTAAGGGCAAATCTAGAAGGGCAATTCCAGAAATTAGGGATCCATTTTTTTTCGTGTCCCTGTCACATCTGACATAAGTTCAGAACACATTTTCTAATTTCTAAGAGTGATGAATTAATGCAAATTACCTGCCAAACAAATAGTAACACTTTGAAATCATTTTCGGTGATATTTCCATGTCGAACAACAAAGGTCAGGTGTAACAGGGACACAGACATGTCACACTTTTGGACCCCTAATTTCTGGAATTACCCAGAACCAAATTTTCTGGTCGGGGTAACTTTATTTTTGGGGGGGGGGGGCAAATTGGCCTGGCAGCCTGCTGATCGAAAAGCAATTCACTTGGAGCTTTACGGACCCTTGAGGGCGCTGTCTCAAGATTGCACAACGCATCATCATTCTGCACAAACATATTGCCCACTCCAAGAACGAACAACAACGACACCCACAATACCGTCGGTTTCAAGCTGATACACGTGCACGCCGGTCGATTGGAGAGAAAATTATCACCGAGGTTGTTTCAGGTTGGTGTAGATTAATTCATGCCTGGACTTGCTCAACGTGCTCTTGTTTTCATAAGTCATGGTTTTTCAGTTCTAGCCGTCCAATGTCATGCGTTTTAATTTGAGCAGATTACAAGTTCAACCTTATTCAATTATGATCCGCAGACGGGCATATTGTAACCCCAGAGCAAGATGGGAGATACGGCAGAAGCAAATCCAACAACAACATCAACAAATGACAGTCGTCCTCCAGCCCTAGACATGCCAGACATGAACTGCGAGGCAGTGATGGTGATGCAGACATGCATGAGTGATAATATTAAAGAGAGTGGAAGTTTACAGCAAGAAGAGAATAATAAAGCTGAACTTGTAGATGAAGAGGGATCAGGGACAGGAGAGGATGAAGAAATCATGGAAAATGAGGAAAACAGAAAAAAGACAAAGGTTAGCATTCGCTTAATGTTGTTTTTTTTTTCAGCCCGTGTCAAAACTTAATGTTATTCATGTTATGTAGTTGTGTTAACATGGTTAAAATTAAGTGTTTTCACCAAAAGTTTTAAAAAGTGGTGCCTCGTTAATTTGGGGGAGTGTTTAGAGAGAAAATGAGGTTCTGTAGCTAGGGCTAGGACCAAATTTAAAAAGTAGGGTAACCTTGGTCACATATGTGTCACCAAAATATGGAATTCTTCCCATTGTGAGTATTGTGGATACAGGTGAGATGTACATGAGCTCATAAATCTCTTGAAATATGTTATCTGCAAGCTTTAAGAAGAAACATGGGCTTTGTATATCAGGAATTTTGAATTCTTCCTGAATCGTGTTAAGGTAGTCTAGATGCTTATATAGTTAGTTAAAAACAAAAATCCTTGCGTGCTCTTTACTTAGCGGAAAAGAAGACGTAGACATAGACATAGGAACTCGTCAAAGGGAAGTGCGGCCAGCCAGCCTGAGGTTTTAGATGCATTCGCAGGACTTCTTGATGAATCTCAGTACTTCTCTGATGAGCCAGCAGCATCTCAGCAGGAAGATCCAGTGCCTCAGCAGCAGACTAAAAGAGAACGGCCCCAGTCGGCCAAAGGCAGGACCCAGACGCAGTACCTGTGTGGACAGCAAACTGGCGACAGAGAAGGGAGGCAGAAAACAGGGGGGAGGCCACCTCGTGACAACCAGCCTACGTCGTCCAAGGGGCAGGGTCATGAGGCACAGCAGATGGGACCACAGAACCCCGGCCGCACACCCAAGGGCAAACCCACACCCCACACTCCAGATAACGGACCTAAGCAAGAAAGACCAAACTCAGCCAAGGGCAGGGTCCAGACGCAGTCCCCATGTAGACAGCAGACGGGAGGGGGATCGCTTGGTGAAATCCAGTCTGTGCCATCCAAGAGGCTCGGTCACAAGGCAGAGCAGAAAGGACCACAAAACCCTGTCCAGACATCTAAGGGCAAACCCACAGCCCAGACCCTGAATAATGGCCCCAGACGGGAAAGACCGAACTCAGCTAAAGGGAGGCTAAACAGCCATTCGAGTCCGCCAGTCCAACGAGAAACTCCTCAAACGCCCACAGACAATAAGTCCAAAGGTTTTGGTTCTCCAAGTTCCTCCAAGAGGAACAAAAAACAAACTGAGTCTCCCAGGAACCAGAACTTCTCACATGGTAAAAACAGGGCTGAACCTCAAACACCCCAAAATGTGCCGAACGGAAATGTCCAAACACCCACCAAGGCTCACCTTGGGGGTCAAAGCACACCAGGGTCCGGGGTGGGAGGGAAGAAACCCAAGACTCCCAGATCAAAAAAGAAGAATGCCGCTGGAACTCCGACTGGAAAGAAGGACTTCAAGGTGAGCCTTCATCTGAACTTTTTAAAACAAAACCAACTTCTTCAGCGTTGTCAGTTTTTGTTGTATGCTTATTTTAGAGTTTATCTTAGCAAGTCAAGACATTGTTTCAGAGTGAAGTTGAATCCAACATTCTTTCCGTCTTGAAACTTTTGTCCAAGTTGCATATCCTAAAACATACCCGACCAGTTTGAGCAAATTCATTTCCAGTAAAGAGCCTGCACCAACGTGCTTGCTAAGTACTCATCCCCGTGGCAGCCTCAAGATTTAAGCAATCACTCATTTTTGTTTGGTACATTCTGGTTTGGAATGTATTTTATCTTCCCAGCCATTTGAGGACTATCTCTCACCGGAGGAGGTCTCTGCCGGGCTGAAGAGGAAGCATCTTCTGCAGGGAACCCTACGGATCAACCCCAAGAACTTTGAGGAAAGCTACATCGATTCCGAGGTAGGTATCTTACGATTTTTCTGAATGAGCTACGATGAGCCAAGGGACGTTTCGTTAGCTGATTGTTTATTATATATTTAAAAAAAAAAAAAAAATACATCTTGAAAATGATTGTTTATTCTTTGGTAGGAAAGACTTCCGCTTCAGGTCAAAACCAAGGACCCAGACATTGGACTTCAATTTTCTCAAATTTTTTTTCTGTTATTTATCTCAAATAACATTTTCCATTTTAAATGCAAAGTGGAGGGTTTCTAACCCTGTGTGCAACGCAGTGTTCCCATGTTTCCCATAAATACAGGGCAGTAATTCCCCCATCCGATTTGCTTTAAACATTCCCACCTGACATGCAACAAAAACTTGCCAGCATTTCTAAAACACCTGCAAGTTCCCAAGTCAGTATCCCACTCTGTTGAACCCTCAATGTGAATGCCAACCATCCATCGTGCAACATGCGACTCTTTCCCTTGGTACATTTTTGTAGTGCAACGTGTGACTTTTTCCCTTGTTGCATTTTCTTCTCCCAGGATGGTGGGGCAGATATCATGATATGTGGCATATCAGCCCGCAACAGAGCCCTGGAGGGAGATGTGGTCGCAGTGGAGTTACTAGAGAAGTCAACTTGGAAGGTGAGCGAAGCAGCTCTTATCCCGTACCAGAAACAGTGGAAAAGAAGACCCGAAATTAATGTCTACCCAACCCAGCCCCACCTGATTTTGGTCAGAGACCTGGCTCAGTGCAGGCAAATTCTGTTCAACGGTTGTCAGAGTGAGAAACCTGCTCGGTGCACAAGAGATCAAGTAGAGACCCAACTTGCCAGCCACTGCGGGATCCAACAATGGCATGTATTCAAAGGGACTCTTTCCCCTTGTCTCAGAATTGCTACATGTACAGTTGTAGCTCATGTTGCTTCCACGCACCTGTACAGCATTATACACCTGTGCACATATTCACTTTCTGCCAAATGACGGATAAATTCATAACCCAAAGTACGTTTTAATTTTAGACTTGCCCTGTAGTGATTGTGAGAGTAGAATTTTAAGATCTGAACGTTATCCACATTGCTAGATTAATTTGCATTAATCTGTGTCGTGCTTTCAGCTTCTGGAAGAAGATTATGCCTCACACAGGAGGAAACAGCGACAGAAGGCCCAACTTGCCGCGGCTTCAAAAGCGGAGACAGGAATTGCCAACACGACCACGGAAGCTGAAAAGGGGCTAGTGGATCAATTCCAAACCCTCGACATCAGTGAGAGGTTGGGTAATCAGCCTTCCGACGGTGCAATAGACCGAGATGCTGCTGACACCACCACCACAGCTGCAAAATCTGGCCACGACAATGCAATCTTTCGCGTGAGGGGCAAACCCAGGCCCTCGGCTGCCCCCGACACGACTAGCAGTGTCTCCGACCACACCATCGTCATCAACAATTCCAGTCTCCAAGACCCCGAGCCTGGTTGCCTGGGGGAGGAGATAGACCAAGTCGTGAAGAGACTCTTCCCAGACAGCAGCGACGAGGATCGTGCAGGCGAAGCGAGCAGCGAAAATAAAGAGACGGAAAAAGGGAGAGAGGAGATACCCCGGAAGTTCTTCCAGAAGCACGGCAAGGTCGTCTACATTCTCGAGAGGCGGCACTCAAGGGCTTGTAGTGGTATTCTGAAACCACGCAGCCACAGCGTGAGTCCAGAGACACCGGCAATAAACTTGACCCTTCCCCTATCAGAACATTTGATTAACAGGGTCTGAGGAGTACAAGTAAACTTGATAATCTTAATCGACATGTAGTGCCTAGGTCATTGGATTTTGTACTCGGAGAATGACCCATCAGACACTGAACGAAACCTCACTTAAAGACTACTCCAGTTTGTGAAATCAGTTGTCTGGAAATGTCATGTGGCAATCAGATTTTCCACAAATGTCACTGTTAAAATGTGATGTTTGTTCTGAAGGTAAACTTGCTGTAATTCCAGATTTTTAGATAGCAATCCCACACTCTGGCATGCATGCTTTGCACGTTACAAATTCATTAACCTTTTTTTTTTCAAATTTCAGAATGCAACGGATGCCCTCTTTTCTCCCACTGACCATCGGATGCCCAGGATCTACATACCTCTGGCCGAATGCCCCCAGGGTTTTCTGGAGCGGCCGGGCGACTTCCGGACGACTCTGTTTATCGCAAGGCTCGAGGAGTGGCCCAAGACATCAGCCATTGCCAGAGGGTACGATGAAGTCATTCAGTGTTCAAACCACATTAAACATCTGCACTTTTCCGTTGAAATAGTGATGTACTCATGTTTACACTTTGTTCACATCATCATTGTCCCACCCCCCCCCCCCACTGTCTTTACAGTCACCTCTACCGCAGTCTAGGTGAGGCGGGGGAGATCGAACCAGAGACAGAAGGCATGCTGATAGAGCATGGGGTGGACTACTCGGACTTCTCCTATGAGGTAAAGGCACCCTGTCGGCTTCGACAAAGGACTAGAGCAAGGCTGGTCTTTCAAACCCTTGCCCGACGTTTTCGGAAAATCAAGCCAAAAAATCTGGAGAATGGGGCCTAAAATCATAGCGCTGCTTAACCGTCAGGATGAAAGGTTTGACAGCTCTTGCAGACAATGTTGGCGCCGCTTCGGCAGCCTTGTCTCACTATTTGTGTGCTAACAAGTTGTGTGCGCATAAAGTGGTTTTTTTATGTTGCTGTAAACTTCAGCAACTTTTTTTGTCTGAGGTTAAACATGTTGAGGACCTCAGTGAGACAGAGGCATGCTCTTTTATCACTGAATTGGCTGTTAAGCAGCGATCCAAAAATTTTGGCTGAGATTTCTGTACCTAGGGCCACACATTTTCTTTGAACTTGTACCCTGGTGATGAGTATTTAGAGGTAACAAGATTTCTTGGAGACTAGAGTGATCACAATTGAATGTGCCGGATGCTAGGAAGAAGGAAAATACCTCGAAATCTTTGAACTTTATGTATGGACTTTCTCAGGTTATCAAATGCCTTCCCAAGAGCCTGCCCTGGACAATTCCCCAGGAGGAAATAGAACAACGCAGGGACTTCCGCCCCAAGTGTGTCTTCACCATCGACCCTGCCACGGCGCGAGACCTCGACGATGCCCTGTCATGCGAACCCCTCGGAGATGGTAAAAAAACACCTGTTGCCCAATGTTACTCCAGCCATTTGAAATTTGTAGTTCTTGTATCAGTGGCAAAGAAATTTTGCTTATTGGAAACAAGTTGAAACCGTGAGCAGTTTCCCTAAGTCGTGTTAGCCAAACTGAAATATATATGTTTGTGCCAAAATGAAGGGATTGGAATGTTCTTTCTGTGATCTTTCCAAATCAAAATCGAGAGGAAAAATCAACTGATGTCTTGGGATCCGATAATTGATTTTTTTTTTCTTACTGTTGAACGTTTCAGGGTTGTATGAAGTGGGCGTGCACATAGCCGATGTCAGCTTCTTTGTGGACGAAGGCAATGCACTCGACGAAGTCGCCGGTTTGCGGGCTACTAGTGTTTACTTGGTGCAAAAGGTGAACATTACAAGCAAGCACTGATTGCCAAACAAATTGGTCACAGACGCTTGACAGTTATTTTTAAAAATTTCGAAGAATGTCTTGATTACAACCATATTTTATGACAAGTCTAAATTGGCGTTCATTTATGGAAACTTATTGTGTCCATCATTGCAAAATTGAAGGTGATTCCAATGTTGCCACGGTTACTGTGTGAGCACCTGTGCAGCCTGAACCCAAACGAGGACAAGTTGACCTTTTCGTTTCTATGGAGACTCACTGAGCAGGGAGAGGTGAGAAACAGATGTCAATTCTAATTTTTTCAACCATCCTTCCTTGAGTATTGGATGTTTTCAGTGCGTTTAAGTCTTGGATCTCTCATCGCACAGAGCAAAGGGAGATCCAGCTTAATAACACTTTAGCCACGGTGAAACTAGGATGCATGTGGGCAAAGCGCCCTCGCTGACCTCTTGTGGGCAAGCCAAACAGCGCCCCTATAGTGTGTGGACACACCCAACTCATGCTTTCATTGCATTTTTTCTTACTGGATTTGTACTTACGAAATTTTAAAAACTTTGCGTTCAGCACTTTTGAAATCTACAAGTCCATAAATTTCACATTTCCAGGATGGAGTAATTCTGGTCTGGTCATCCCCAATCCCCCGCCTCACTTGTTGACGTACATTTTCTGCTTGACGTCACACCTTTTGATATGCCCAGATGACTGATGTCTATCCAAACATTTCCTCTGTCCTCTCCTTGCAGATTCTGGATGAGTGGTGCGGCCGTTCTGTCATCCGCTCCTGCGTCAAGATGAGTTACGACCACGCCCAGGGCATCATCGCCGAGCCGGAGCGAGAGAGGGGGGAGGAGGAGATGCCGCCCATCGCCAACGGCTTCAGCATCTCAGACGTTGCCCAAGGAGTCCTCCGCTTGAATAAGGTACTCTTTAGAATTGGAAACACATTTGGTTAGCGGGTACTGTTTTGCGGGCCATCTGTTTTTGAGGTCGAAGCACACGATCAGAGGTGTAGTGGTTATCATTTGTTCCAGACAGGGGAAGTCGTTCAGTCCTTGTTACTCTCCGTTAGGCTAAGCCTTTCACAACCTCTGCCACAAATCTGTCAGTATGTCCCTGAAATTGCCCATAGATTGCACAGAATTTGCGTCAGAAGCGATTAGATGACGGCGCCCTGCGACTGGACCAGGTGAAACTCCAGTTTGCCCTAGACAAGGAGTCGGGATTGCCATCTGGCTACTCCGTCTACGAACGGCGAGATAGCAACAAGTACGTAGTGGAATTTTTTTTCTGCACATTTCTTCCGTGTGTCCAGCCTCGTAGGCTGGTCCCAAACAGTCAACTACCACTAATCCAGAGACTAATAGTTGAAACTGTGGTCTATGAAAGTTCTTTGTCAAAGGTGGGTTCCTAGTTACTCTTGTAAATAATGCACAGGCTTATTGAAGCTGTCAGACTTGTGGGGTAACACTCAAACTTGTCAAATCCCAACAGACTGGTAGAAGAGTTCATGCTCCTGGCCAACATGGCGGCTGCCCACCGCGTCCACGACTACTGCAAGGACACCGCCCTCCTGAGGCGTCACCCGCCGCCCAAGGCCAAGATGATGGATGACCTGGCCGACACGTGCTCGGCGCTGGGGCTGGAGGTGGACGGCAGCAACTCCAAGACCATACAGGAGTCGCTGGGCCGCTATCTGGGACCTCGGGAGGACAAGCGGGCCTGGGGGATGGGGCAGATCCTGACGGTGCTCTACTCCAAGCCAATGCAGGTGGGTGGGGTCGGTAGTGAGCCAGCTCGGTATTCCAACAGGTCATGCCCATAGTGAAGCGCGTCAGAGGTCTGTCCTATCAGCGCGGCCCTTTGCAGGCTCAAACACGCGCTTTGATAGTGCCTTTTCGAAATACGGAATTGGCTTGTTACAAAAATTTCCCCCTTAAGAATGGTTCAACCTTGCTCAGTATCAGGGCAGTCTGTGAATTACGTCCCATTACACTGCCGACATTGGCCCTGCTTTGTTTGGTGGAACACAGTCTTCATGTATGTGTACTTGGAGATTTATTGTTGAGCAAATTGTGCTACACCGTTTCTCCATTCTCTATCACCCCGTTCCCCACCCTGTCTCTTGCCATCCTGTCCCTCACCCTGTCCCTAATTGATATCAATCTCTTCCAGTGATTCCTCCTTATCAATCAAACTCTGTCACCAAGCAGGTGATCTAAGGTCTCCCTCTCTTCTTCCGCAGAAAGCCAAATATTTCTGCGCAGGCACCTTGGAAGATGAGACCTTGTATCGCCACTATGCCCTCAATGTACCGTTGTATACCCATTTCACGTCTCCGATCAGACGATACGCTGACATCTTGGTCCACAGGCAACTTGCTGCGTCTCTCAGTGAGTCGATCTTGGCTAGCGTGTGTACAGTATTACTTAACAAGTTTTTAAGGGTTTAGCAGATTTTGGGCATAAAATCGATTATGTAGTAAGTGCCATTATGATACTCCTTTTGGTCTGAGGTGACAACTTTGCATTGTTAAAATGATTCACTAACGTTTAGGTTCAGGCTGAATTATGTGGATATCTTGGCATTTTTGTATCCCACCGCTGCCACCATTAAATACCAAGACTTCTGGATGTGAGGTTCCCTCTCATGTCTCAGTCTCAAACTGGATTGTACAAGGCTCCTTCAGATAAGAGTCGGACAGTAATCCTGACAGTGTGCTCTGCATTTACTCCTACCTCGTCCTGTTTTTGTTTCGTCCCAAGACATTGGCCCCGTCTCTGAGAGGACCACGAGGGCCATCCAGGACCAGGCGATGATATGCAACAAGCGCAAGGATGCAGCCAAGAGAGTGTCGGACTTGAGCAGCGACATGTTCTTCGCCATATTTGTCCGGGTAAATCGAAAGTGTCTCGAAATGCCTCTTGCCGTAATTTTCTCTGGAGCTTGTTAGATACTCAGAGGTGGTCACTATTAGCTGTCATCTGAACAGATTTTGGCGCAAAATTTCTGCATGAAGATGCTTTTTATGCTATCATTGACCCCCTCTTTTTTTGCAGGAGTGTGGCCCCCTGGAAGAGGATGCCATGGTGATGCAAGTTATGGACAGAGCTTTTGATGTCCTGGTGATAAATTTAGGAGTGACAAAGAGAGTGTACTGCAATGTAAGTCTTTTTTTTTTTCTGAGTCACGCACATTTCCGTCAAACTGCGGGGCTATTTGTTCTTGATAGTATTATTTTGTTGTAAAAGTGGCCAAAATGGTAAAGGAAAAGGCTCTTCTCTTTCAGGCACTACCCCTCAAAAGTTTCAAATGTCAGAAACAAGGGAAGACAGGCAAGTTGACTATCACTTGGGAAGCAGATGAGCATCACCCCATCGAACAGACACAGATCTTAGAGCTCTTCTCATTGGTCAGAGTGGAGCTCAAGGCAGGCAATGAGCCACTCAAGTTCACTGTAAGTGAATATACGTTCTTGGATTTTGCACCGTCGAAGATATTATTACTGTGCTCTGATGTTCCTTTAAATTGTCAGGACTCCTGTGAAAGTATTGTTTTCATCTTCTCAGTTTGTAAACAGTTATTTTACTTGCATTAAAGTAATTTGAAGTAAGATTTGATTTGCTGAAATCTCAAACCACAGATCCGTTAGCAAACATTTAGGGGCTCGATCAATTCCAAACTTTCACTGTGCATAAATTGGACTTTACCAGGATTTCAATGTATTACATTTGGCTTGTCATCAAATTATTTCTCATCACCAACTTCAGTCTGTCATGACTCGACATTTTTAAAGAGTAAAGAATATCGATCTCCCAGGGATTTGAACCAGTTGGGTGTCTGTCCTGAGAGAGTAATGCTGCTCCTTCTCTTCTCGTTGCCGCAGGCCACAGTGAAACGACCGGAGGTGGACTGATGCACATCTAATCTTTCCTTAAGATGTGCAGTCTGGTGCCTTCAGGCCAACCAGTTGGTCTACCTAGCTAGAGACACGCATCTCGCTCATACAGGCCTTAAGCCTTGAGCCCAAAGCCTGAATATATAAAAAAAGCCTCAGGAGCTGAAGAGGACTCGTCACTGTGTGGCGCCTCCATACAATTACACTTCAGCCATTTGCCCCGTTCTCGCCCCACCCATCCCCGTCACCCAAATGTACCCTCACTGAAGCTTTTGGCATAAGTCAACTCTTACGTCATGTCAGGTACGCCTTTTAAAATCCCAAAGACAATCAGTTTGGTTTTTTTTAATCAGTACCTGTCACCAAGCGCAACACCTTTGTTTAAAACTATTCAGTATTACCTGATCAGCAGCCAGGTTTCTGAGTCAATGCAAGATATGTTTACCTAAGATGGGTTATTACTTTTTTCATCTTGCCTGATATTTTACTGGGGTTGTGTATAAAACTTATTTGTTTGTCATATTTGAAAGGATAAAGTTAGTTAAGGAATGCAGCTACAGCAGTGTTTCAAAGAATGTAATCCCCCCGTCAAAAAATGAAAGTCCCAGTTTATGTCACACTATGTTTCGATTTCTAATGCTCACAGAAAGTTGTGGTTTTAAGGAATTTTTTATGGAGAAAAGGAGAATTTTTTTTCTCACTTCTGCTGTGCAGAGGGTTTTTAAGATATTTTAGAATTAGCTTGGAAATATGTACATTTTGATTTGTTTCATAAGATTCTGTTTCGAAATTGGGGCTCTGAGAAATGACAGGGCTTTTAAGGCATGTCCTTGTTTATGTGGGGAAGGTTGGGGTTTTTTTTACCCCGGAGTCTGGAAATGTTGATTCGATGCAAGTGTCTCAATTCAGAAACTGTGGCGAACTCCAGATTCTTCGATTCAAGTAGGGGGAAAATATCTGGCGCACCAGAAAATTCCTCCTGCAATCAGTGGGATATCCAGGTTTTGGATCTGGACGGGGAAGAGGTGGGGGGAAGTGGATTTTTGGAAAATGGTAGTCCACTTTTTTCTCATTCTGGAAAGGATCCTTACCCCCACCCTTCAAAAAAAAATTTGGTTGTACGGTTTCGAAAGTTTAAGCACTTTGAATTCCTTTTGAAAACATTTAATGCCAGCGTGTTGAGGTGGGGACAATATTGCCCCGCCCCCCTCCACGCGATACCCCACTGCCTGCAGTTTATGAAGCTAAAAAGGTCAGCGAGAAAGTTTAGCAAGGTGTATGAATTCGGGTTGAGCATTCAGAGAACCATTTTCACGACAGAACCGGACGATCTAGATCAGTGGTTGTATGGTCAAAATTTCCTAGTTATTGTGAAGTGAAGCGATTTTTTTTCTTTCGGAAATGTGAACCTGTCTTTGTAGTGTTAATGGTATAAAGGAACTCGATGAATGCGGATGACAGGTTTGGTTTTAGTTTTTCCTCGTTTTTAATTGATAACAGTAAGTAAAAAAAAATCAGACACATTGATGGTCTAAACTTAACTTTGATTTGTTAGTTGATCACTGTCGAACCGAATGAATTTTCTTATGAAGTTCTGCCACATGTACACAAATAAAGCTTTGTTAAAAATATATTATATGGTCAAGATGTTTTAAACATGGTTTTTAGCAATGAATGACTGACATTCTATCCAAGCGTAATTCCGACTTATCCGACCGAAGGCCTTGCTGTTATGTTAATTACATCATGTTTCATTGGGGTTTTTTTAGTCGTGGCGAAAGACATGTTATTTCCAATGAATTGAAACTTCAATATTTTTTAGGCTTTCCACGGAGAAGAGAAAGCGGCTGACATTCGAATGAAATTCTGATCAGCTCTTCACAGATGTCAGTTCAAAGACCATGTCCGACTAACCAAAATGGGAGTCAATTTCATGAAGCTGATTAGCGCAGGAACTTCCGCGTTTGTAAGCAAAGACATTTTTGCTTATCCGAAGCAGGCAATTCAGAATTTCCTGTGACTTGATTTTACAGCTCCTTGAAATGAACCAATTCGGTATTCCAAAAACGTATGCGCCGCCTCGCATGAGTGTGTTGTTCTCGAGTGACTTTGCCTATTTGTGGAAATACCGAACTGGCTGATTTGGCCCAAGATTTTGAGCTTGACAAAAATGTCGTTTATAGACCCTCAAAAACTATCAGGGTGCGGTTTTCACCGAAGTTTTTTTGTGCGACGAGAATTTTCCGCCATGAGCTTAATTCACCAAATCATGTCCACTCTGTCTTAAAAGTTCAACAGGGATATTCTGTACACTAGCAACATTTAAACTTGGTCCTTTTTTCTCGAAATAAACTCCCCCAGTCTTGAAACTTATCTGTGAGCCGCCCTGAATGTTTTCTTTATTTGGAAAAAAAAATTGGTAAGGACAACCATTCTTGACATCACATGCACATTAGGCCTACTGTGGCAAAATAATATTAATTTACTGGAATAATAAAAGCATACTGCTGTAGATCTACCAAGAATCTCGAAATGTGAGAATGTTTCATGTGTAGAGATTTATGAGGACGTGCAGGGAAGATTGGTTGAAGCAGAACCACAAAAATAAAACTTGACACAGTTACGCCCGAATTATAGCATCACTGAGTCCAAACTATTGTTGGCTGGCGCTGTATGTTACGTAACCCCTACACTCAATACATGTAGACCTTTTTCCCTGCGATGTCTGGACCACCGTGTGTTGTGATGGTAAACTACTTATTCAAAATAGTCAGCAGGCAGCGTTCGCACGTATATAATTATGTACAAATGTAACGTACATACATGTACATGTAAATGTACGTGCGCTAGCGCTTGGACGTGGTTGAAGCTGCCTGTAGGAATATATGCGATCACCGTGGCGACGGCGGTTCACAAGTGGTGGTATTGTTTACATTTAGCGCAATCCAGTCACGTGGCTGCCAGATCAGGTGGACGGTACTCTGCCACTCCTTTGCCGTTCACATGCAGGGCTACGAGGTATCGATTGGACATACATGTAGTACATGTACAGCGGTCTTCGTCAGCCGTCAAACATGTTGTGTTACAGGACTATGACCAGGCGCGAGGATAGGAGCTCACAAGGCAGTGCGTGACTTTTCCCGTCGTCGAAGGGCATATGTACATTACCGGGAAGACAGCTTGCGCGGACTCTGTTGTTATCAGTGGTAATACAATCCAAACCTCTTGAGCCTTCGGTCCACTATCGGTTACCTCCGTGTACATATTAACGCTACGGAGGACTGCTACTACCGCATCGTTGTGTGAGCATAAGTCATGCAGCAAGGTATGAGACGGAGGGACCCCCCTGCTTTGTGTTGGTCATTGTCTCGCAGGAATCTGGGGAATTCCTTTCAGACATCTTGGAGGGGATCTGTTAAGTAACAATAGTATGGAATGTTACAGGGATTGGACATGTTGGGAGGTACCCCTCGGTCTCGTTTCTTGCTGGGTATAGCATTAGTGCTAGTCTATTCACCATGCAGCTGCTGGTTCAATGGGGCCTGCTGCTGGACAAAGCCCTCCATTCAGGGCATACCACAGCCCAGCAGTCGCGGTCAAAAGAATCCCGCCGTGAAGGGGTTGACAGTTACAAACTTGGGGTGATCGGGCGATTTGTGGATTTGATGACATCACAGAATTCTGATACTTGTCATCGGAAAATCTGGTTGGTCTCGTCATCTTGTTCACGATAACATCTCCGGAGCATGTGCATCGAATTTCGACCCTCATTCTGGGATGATGGCGTCATTGTTTTGAAAATTCACAAAGTAATTTGTTGGTGTCTAACGAATGGTTTTCACCGGCTTTCGTGCAACTACAGTGTATGACAAACACTCTCAAATGTGAACAGGTTTACTATCTGTGCCTCTTGCCCATAGCTAATGCTATGACGTCAGCTCTCTGTGTATGCCCCAAGATGTCATGAAAAAAACTGGCAAATTTATAGTGAAGGTGGACGAAAACCACTTGCTTGAAAAATTAGAAGTTTCAATTGATGACGTTCTCCTGCATGGAAACCATTGAAGGCACCGTTCAAGATGGTCAATTTCTGCTTTGACTTTAACATTTAATATACAAGTACTTCAGGGATGAGATCAAGTAAATGACGCGATGACATGCATCGAAATTCATGTGACTTTAAACAAAAATCTATATCGCCCAATCACCTTGTATTTTTCAGCTAAAACACGTTTCGTTTTGATTTTGTTTTTTGAATCATCTTCTGACCAACTTCCTTACCACATGAACATACCCACATTTTATTATAAGTAGGTTGGGAAGTTTTGCTTTTAATATATGCTTTTCCCAGCTATACTTTTTTTCAATTAAATTCACAGATTTGTATTTTCAAATTGGTCCAGGGAAATCGAATCAGTTCACTTGCAATGTCTAATCATTTTCGTTAATGTCATCAGTTCAAATATTGGTCAATTGAATTCATACCACGAGCGTACTTCTGTTGGCAAGGAGTATTCGATTTCATTTCGTTTACGCCAACCAATGTTATTCAGATGAATGAATTCTTTTGCCACACATTTTTCAAGGACATCTTTATTCAATTTCGTCGGACTTCAGTGTGACATGTAGGAGAAGTTAATAGTCCCATATAACTCTGCACTGTGTCTCATTTTAATTCTCCTTGTGGTTCAAGAGTATTTTCTTTGTTTTGAAATTGATTTCCTCGAGAACATACCCGACTTGTTCAGGATATAAAGAAACAGGAAGAAAATAAGGGTCATCAATATACATTGATATGTTTTCACTCGATCTTTTGTTTCTTCTTAAACTTGAAGGACCTTACAAGGGGAGGTCTTGTTGATTTTTCAACTTTGTTGTTAATTTACCACGGAAACGAGTGAGGGCCACACTTGCAAAAAAGGTTCCGCGGTGAGAAGCCGAGAAAACACTTATTTGTGCTAGTGGCCTTTATACGCCTCTGTACGTTTTGATCGTCCTTTTTTTGTTATTTCATTATAGCCATTTCGAGGACGAACATTTCTCTCATGCCGTAGCTATGAAGCCGAGTAGCACTGTGGGGATTTGTTTGGCTCTAGTCACTGCGATGCTCTGCTTCTCCAGGAAGGGAGTCCAAGGAAAGTTCAGCTTCCAGCTGGACGTTCATGGTGCGGGCAGTTTGGGGGTGTTCGTGGACGGAGTGGAGGTATGGCGCAACATATATCATGCATGTACCAATATAATATTACTGAGTAGACTGAGAGCTGGGTAACTTTTCATTAACAATTTCAGCACAAAAGCTTTGATGGTGCCATGTCATTGCTTGTTGGAGGGTTGTGCTAGAATGGCCATTCATAAGTTCCCCTGGGTTGGACGTGGCTCACATGTTTTGAGCATCCAGGGGTCAATCATGAAACTTTTATCCTAAAAATGCACTTGTGCATCAGATATTTTGAATTTTTGACGAGGTCATGTGACCCACACATAATTTTGGAACTGGGCTGAATTCTGTTCTATTCAAAAAGGAATATTTATTTTTGTATTAGGTTAAATTATTAATGTTACTTTTGCAAAACTTCCCAAAGAACATGTGTCAGATGGACGCACTGATGCCAATTAATGGCATACACCTGTACAGTACAAAGTCAAATGTCATGGTCCTGAATTCTCGTTTGGCTTGTGATTGGTTTATGCATATCCAGCTCAGAATATTTTTCCCTTAATTTTGTCAGCTCCTTGAAATTATTGGACTTTGTGCTTCCGTTGTGTTCTTTAACAATAGGTCATCAGACATACACCGGGATCGCCGTTTGTGTTTGTTGGGAACGGGCTATTCTCGTTCCAGGGGAACCTTGGTAACTTCGTCATCGAAGACTACATCCAGGAGCGCATTGCGCTGCGGGATTTCATTGTCGCAGAGGAGTCGGACGAACTAACTCGAATTATCTTCCATCGAGATGGACTCATGAAGGTAATAATCCAAGGGTCCCTGAGATGAATTCAACACTGAAATATGATGTGTGCCAATATACATTTCTGAGAGTTGTACGTCTGAAGAAAGTTTTGGGTACTAGAAAAAGCTTTTTAACGCTAAAGCCGTGGTTTTTGGTTTTTGTTTCATGTTTGGTTTTTCCTTCTCATTAACTGGCAGCAGATTCTGCGAGCGAAGTCTGGAAATAAGTCAACAGAAATGCCAAAGAAATACCTCGTCACTGATGTAGTATTATGACTATTAAGTGGCATACTTGATTATCATAAATTGTATATATGTATTATACTGATCTGGTTTACCAGACAACAGTAACTTTTACCACGGAGGACTACAGCCTAGGTGACGTCATTACTTTTGAGGCTCTTCCTGCTGACGTTAATCACGTCTGGGCTCGGCTCTTCGCCGAGGCCTGTGAGCACGTGTACGGAGGCGGGGAACAGTTCTCTTACTTTGACCTCCGAGGTCACACCTTCCCGCTGTGGATCCAGGAACAGGTGGGAGGATCTATCTTTTCACGCGAGGGCGCTGTATCAACTTCCATTACCACTATAGGAGTGTAGTCCACTAATTCAGGCCCCATTGAAAACAGTGTAAAAACAACATTGATTGGGGCTCAAAAAAATATGCGTACCAACATCCCTGAGGCATTTCCGCCAGCCATGGGAAATTCGAAAGACGTTGGGGCCTATTGAAGCAAGCAAAAACAATGCTCGTTATGTGCTCTTGTGTAAAGAGTGGCGTTTAAAAATCTCCACTTGTTCCTACTTTCTCCTGACATTTGCATTGATGTTTACTTTCTGGTCTTGGATTCCATGTTCCTCTCTATTTGTCCCTTCTCATTTCGGAGGGTACTTTGAATCAACAAACCCTACGCCACTGCCTCTCGAATTAAGTGTATATTGTGCAAATTCTGGTCATTGATATGTCTAATACAGCATTTTAAATTAGCTACATTTGAAACACTGACAGTTTTACCGATCTGTTCAGATCTCCTCGTTGTATTAGAAATAAGATAGGAAGTAGCATGTTGCTCTCTAAAGGTGAAGTTCTGCTACCTCACTCTATCCGAAAGCAGTTTTAGATCTTGACTCTGAAATTTCCCTTTGAAAAATCTAAAGGGCGTCGGTCGAAACAAAAGTACTGAAGTGACGTTCAAGGCGGACCGGAGGAATGGAGGGGGCGGGGACTACTACACCACCTACTGGGCCCAGCCCACCTTCACGTCTTCGCGCAAGTACAGCTGCCACTTTGACACCACCAGCTACTTCGAGTTCGATTTCCGCCACCCGGACTTCCACGAGGTGCAGATCTGGAACAATCGGCCCGGCAAAATCTACTTCGGCGTCGACGACACTTTCATCGGGCTGGTGGGCAAAGTGACGGCTTTCTTGGGGCGACAACCGCTGATGCCGCTGTGGACGCAGGGCGGCGCCATTTTGGGCGTTCAAGGAGGGACGACTGCTATGCTGGAGTACCTTAAAGGGGCGCAGGTATAAGCTATGCTATTATCCACCCTTTTACCAACCGTTGGAAACTCTAGATTATTAAGAATTCTGACTAGCAAAATGAGGCCCATGCTCGCTGACTGGTTTGACATTCAAAATTATGTATTTTCAGTGTTTTTATTTTAAAAGTCCATTGGCCTCGGAGGATGACCGAATTTGCTCTGTCACAAATACTGGCGTACTAAACAGAATAATGTTGTAGTCTCCAAACCTTGTCAACCTTGGGCTCTTTACATCTTCTCTGTTAGGGAAATTCAACGCTCGTTAGCGGTCTTTGGATTCAAGACTGGGTGGGTCGAATCAAGACTTCGTTCGGTCGAAGGCTGTTCTGGAACTGGGAATGGAACCGGGAACAATATCCCAACTTGGACACTGAAATCGTGCGCCTCCGGGAGCAAGGGGTGCGAGTCTTCGCCTACATCAATCCAAACCTCAACCGTGAGGGAAGTTTGTTTAAGGAAGCTGAGGAACAGAACCTCCTGGTCAAGAACTCGTCCGGACAGACCTATTTGGTGGACTTTGGCGAGTTCTTCTGCGGCATTGTGGACATGACCAATCCCGCGGCCTTTGCGTGGTATAAGGGAATCATCCGGAAGAACATGATCGACTTGGGCTTTGCAGGATGGATGGCTGATTTCGGTGAATACCTGCCCACTGACGCCGTGTTCCACAGCGGGCAGCCCGGTGAAGAGCTACACAATCACTGGCCTGTACTGTGGGCCAAATTGAACCGGGAGGCTGCAGAAGATGCCGGCTTGGTGGAAGAGTTGCTGATCTGGATGCGTGCAGGGTTTAGCGGCTCGCAGCGGTACTGCACCATGTCCTGGGCCGGGGATCAGTTCGTAGACTTCAGCCTGGCGGACGGCTTGGCCTCGGTCATACCCGCTGCGCTCTCGCTCGGCATGTCAGGGTTCGGGCTGAGCCACTTCGACATCGGTGGGTACACTTCGATGTTTGGCATCGGCCGGACCAAAGAGCTGTTGCTTCGGTATGCCGAGTTTGCAGCCTTCACTCCGGTCATGAGGACGCACGAGGGCAACCGACCTTCTGCCAACTGGCAGTTCTACTCCAGCACGGACACGAATCTCGCTTTTGCACGTCACACCAAGATCTTCAACGCTCTCGCCAACTACACCCAAGCTGTGGTCCGCGAAAATACGGAGAGTGGAATCCCGGTACAACGCCCTCTGTTCATGCATTATGAAAATGACCAGAAGTCGTACAACATTAAGTACGAATATTTATACGGCAGGGATCTCTTGGTGGCCCCCGTGTACAACGAAGGGGTGGACACGTGGTCGGTCTACTTACCCCCTGATAACTGGGTCTTCTTGTGGGATGGCCAGGAGTATGACGGTGGAAGTACAGTTACTGTTCCGGCACCCTTGGGGAAGATTCCGGTTTTCTACAGAAAGGGCTCCCCCTGGACGACGGTCTTTATAAAATTACGCAAGAGTGCAGGTAATTAATCTTCTGATATTTCGATAATCCATGCTGCGTACCTCCTCCCCTTGTACAGGACGCTGGTGCGACTGTAACATACTGTCTCATTTCTAAATTTCTGACCCGAACTTTCAGTGCCAAGTGTCTCACCTGCGACCAGCACCAAGGAACCGACGAGGAGTGGGCCAGCAGAGGGCGGGCTTCTCCATACTCTTGCCTTGGCAGTGATGATGGCGCTGTTGCTTGCGTTGACAAGATGGTACTGTGGAAGACGCTGAACTGACATAAAAAGTCTAATGTCCCTAAACATTGCTTACTTTGGTGACGACTTGATTACAATGTGCATTGTATTAGACCTTTCAAATCTTAGAGTCTAATACGTGCGTTAAGCTATGACAACTTGGATTCAGGATAGAACTATTTGAAGTAATATAGTTTAAAAAGGACTTGGAGTTTTGTAAACAAGAAAACTTACATTTTTATCAATATATATCATCGTTGCAAATATATTGCTACCATGCATTAAGTGCCTAAATTGCAATATAGATTGTAATTGGAATCGCTTGGACCAAGAATCTGTTTTAATTTTTTAAGTAATCTGTATTTGACAGATGATGTGACCTTTAAGATGATGGAATAAAACGGGTTAACTGTTTGGAAGTTCTCAGTCTTCTCTGTTAAACTATTTTGATTGCTATTAAATAGTTGCTCCCTTTATAATATACGCAATTTAGGTCAACTCAGGTTTGGCCTATCTGTGCTTGTGGTTCAACACGCTTGCCTATTTTATGGAAGTCGCTGTGGCAGCCGCTAGCCCATTGGCTTGCCAAGGTTCACCTGTTAAAAGCCGGTGCAGTGTGGAATTTGTACTGGTTTAAAAACGGGTCCGTCGACTGTACTGCGCCGTCGCTTGCCTCAACGGACAAACGACTAGACTTTACTGGAGTACAAATTTCGTATCACACCGATAGCAATCAAAGACTCAACCCATTTGCCAAGGTTTACTTTAAAGAACTTCATATCTACTCACATAATTCTACAAATAATATCTCTCCAGGGTTTTGAAGTGCCAGCACGTTCCGCAGTCGATGTCGTAAAGTAAGGCTTCTCTATAAGACGATTACTTCCGACAAATCCTCCAAAGCTATGCCGCCCTGGGTTTGGAACAAAGCTTGGTTTAGGTCGAAAAAGATGTAACGACGAATCGCACAGTTTGTGTCATAACAGACCTGTCTATATCAATTCCTTGGCGCTCATTTTCAACGCGCCGCTGACTGAACCACGTAGCTTGTCCACACACGGTGAAAAATCGGTGCTCACCGTGACTACTACCATAGCCTAGAAACGCGTCAAACATTTGCTTCCTCAATTGAGTATTATGAACTTCAGATACAATCCTTTTGAAAAATCCTTATAAGTTGGTAAAATTCATCAATTTAACTCCGACATTTTTTGGTTCAGCATTGGAGTTTCGTCTTGTTTTGGTGTAATTTTGCGTGTAAATTCACCGTTTACGCTCTCTTTCAGCTCAACTTCAACCTGCCTTAACTCAGGCTAGCGCCACCCTTTGACCTCCACAATCGCTAGGTAGTTTCTTCTTCTATTCATTAGCTAACTGACCATGTTAAAATTATTTTGATTGGCCACTATTTCACCCCTTCTTTAAAGGAACAAAGAAATAACAGTTAAGATTGCGCATTCAGCCACCGGCTTCAACGTGTACGACGCACGGTGTACGAATGCCGCTTGTGCGTGCATGTGGTGGCGCTGGCCACGTTGCGTCGCGGGACAGTTAGAATTTCGTGGGTGCATGGGAAAAACTGTCTTAGTAAGTCCTCTTTTTATATGATTGAAATCATTGTGCTTTTTCAACTACCATATATTCCCAAGGGTCACTGCTTTTACAGCGAAGTTGACGTAAAATGAACATGGGGTTCGAAGTCTTGTACCTGTTGTTGCATGTAAAACATTGCACAAAATTAAACTGTATGTGCCTGCCCTATATAATAATTAAGTGGTATCGTCCGTTTTGCCCAAACTGGGTTTGGGCAGTTCTGTTTACACAAGGCTCAAGGCCGAAGATCAAAAGATAGGCATGTGTGCACAGTAGTTTTTGGAGGAGCGCTTTATCTCGGTATTGGCAGGAATTGATATGATAAACGGTTTACGCTTTTACACGTTGTACGAATATCCTAATGGGCAGTGACTGTCTAAACCACCTATATTTGAGCCCTTCTTCACAGTTTTAACAGTTAATGAATAAACATTCTAAACAGCCTTATTTATTTATGATTGGGTGTGTACTGATTAATAAGTCCAACCTAACTCGGACGACCAGCAGGCGTAATAAAAGTGACTCTTCCTAACCAAGATCAGTAATCTCGGAAAACCAACAGCAGACGGACTTTGGTATAAATCAGTGCCTGTTGGTTTAAGGCTATCTGTGCTTGTCATGTCTTATTGATTCAACTTTTCGCTAAGGTCAGTCCTAATAATCTCTTAGTTTTAAAATAAGTAAGCATTCGCCCTCCCGGAATTCTCACAGTGGGAACAGTGTTCGTAATACTTAATAGAGAGTGGATTTGCATGACCTGAAGAACCGTACTTACAGGTGAGACCATACCATATAGAATATGAACTTCCATATTCGTTAAACCAAATCTTTGAGATGACATAGGTTTTCCCCGGCCGATTTCGGAAAATGTGTACATGAATTTGTAATAGCAGCATTCGTTTTCGAGCGAAATATAATGAAAATTCAAAGGGTGCATTCAGTCGTATAAAGTCGGCTTTCAACTTCCTGATATTGCACTGGTTGAGGCGTAGTATGTTGACATTAATTTTTTTTCGAATGCACATCTGTAATATCCTGTATACATCTTAATTCGAACTCGTAGAATATCTAGGCGATTTCGCACGAAGTGTTAATTAACATATGCCTGGTAACGAACTGGAATTCGTTTGTGTGCTAACAAAAGTTACATTCCTAGAAGTGTTTATAGTTCAGTGGTTAATGTTTGAATATTCATGACTAAAACAAACCATTCATGTTGCCTTTGGAAACATTCCAAATATTGTAAGAATCCTATATAACCACCGCTCGACGCTGAGGGACCCTTCCTTCCTCTGCCTCAATCGCATCATCATACAGCGAAGTAAGAGGTTGCAATGCTTTCTTGGAATGGCTGAACTAAGGAGATACAGACAAACCTTAGAACTTGACCGGAATCGCCTTATTGATGCCTTTGAGGATGTCGACGCTGACTATCCCCAGGTAGCAGAGACGTTGGTCATCAAACACTCAACAGCCAGATCAGTTTTTGCTGTATATCTTAGAGATGGTCGTCGTAATAAGCTGCCAAAAGGAGGACCCCAAAACGAGAAGATTGACGAAGGCACGAAAGATGCCCTTCTGCGTTATGTAGATGATAACCCCCTCCTAACTGTACGACAACTCAATGATCACCTGCGAACCAATCTTCCCGATAAGCCAGTTCGCGGCCACCATGCAGTACCATCGCCAGAACTCCAGAGGGTATGTTTGTAACTCGTAAGCTAAGGGAAGATGTTCCCGAACAGAGAAATTCACCGCGGGTATTAGATGAACGGGTTAGATTTGCAAACTGGTTTCTAGAGGTCGGTGTGCTTGGACACACTGTGTTCATAGACAAGACTAGGTATAGTATATGGACCCGTCGGTCTCATGGCCGTGCTCCTCGAGGAGAGCCAGCAAGACGAGCCGTTCACCGCCAGAGAGGCAAGCAAGTCAATATCACGTTTGCTATTTCTGGTGAAGTTGGACTTGTGGCTCACAGAATATCATTAGATACTGTGACGAGAGAAACGTTTGAGGAGTTCCAAGCGACAAGAATGCGATATGCTATTCCCTGCTGGTGAACAGATATGATAACACTCGGCCTCATATCCGAGCCGAACTACCCCCTCACGCCGACAACTTCACCATCAAGCTAGCTGTTACCCCCATATTCACCATTTTTGGATCCGACAGAAATGGCACACTCAGCTTTCAAGGCGGGAATGAAGCGCACACTGGGCCTACCTGAATGGCACGACAGATTTGGAGACGAAGCCGCCAGAGTCCAAACTGGTGTAAACTTGCAAGTATGGAGATCTCTCATCCGTCTCAAGGAAGAGGCTGCACTCAACATTGGAGAGGTGACACCTGGAAAGTGCACAGCGTGGTACAACCAGGCTCAGACGTATCTCCCTCGATGCCTTGCCAGACAGATCATTGATGAATGAAGAGGATGAAATGAGAGACGACTTCATAAGAAATAAAAAAGAACCCCAAAAGTCCCAATCTCCCTTTGCAAGAACCACGACAAGTTACATTTCCCTAACATCCTCCAAAAATCTCTTCAATTTGATTAGATTTTTTGTAACATTTCATTTGTGAACACTGTAATAAGACCTTGGTTTATATGCAGTTTGATAACAAACACTCTACAATCCTTCATGAGTAACATTACATTCATTATCAAAGTGGTGTCTTGATTTGTTTAACCCTGTAAATTCTAATCAAATCGGACACATAGTTTGCGAATTTGAATTACGGCAAATGAAAATAAATACTCAATACCGACTGTTTACGGTAAAAGACAGATTTTCGGTGAATAAGATTGCACATTGGTTACAATTGACAACAAATACGTCAAATCGAGATCTCAAAAACTTATTTGTAACCTCCTAAATGAAACGTAATGCAAATTTCATTTTCAACTTTTGTTTTACTTTCCGAAGGGTGTTTTACTGTTTTTTTTTGTTGTTTTGATACTAATGAGATTTCCACATTCGCGAGCAAAACTGTGAGCCATCCCAAGGAGAAAGCCCAACTGTTACATTGGTTTGTGCACAGACATAAAGTCATGCATATTAACCTATTTTGCTGGACTTATTTTTCTCATACTGACTCATTGTTGCTTATGTGCATACCAATAAGCAAGCGTCAATCCCTTTCTCATAAATGTTTTCACTAAATGAATTCTGGGTTCACAATTTTAACAGAAAAACCTATATATATATGCAGTGGAATACCTCCCTGCATGACGTCACAGCAACCCAGCGTCCCGAGTTGTCCAGGAAAGCATAGATAATTTTAGGTGTTAAAATTTTAAGTTTTAAGTGTTTAAGTTTCAATGTATTCAACCACAAAGGAATGTAAAAGATTTGTCATACCTTGAAGAAGAGTACAAAATTGCCGAAAATTGTGTCTAAGAAAATGCATTATGGCTACACTTTAAAGCTACAAACTCGCGTCTCCATCAGTCCTGTTCTTTTTTGAGGGTACGTAAACAAATATTGACCGGTGCAAGCGGTAAAGAAAAACTGCTGGGAGCGTTATCTTTGGAAGTCTCAACGGGTCCTTGGGAGATAAAGAAGTCAATAATTATTGACGATATCACTGTTCGAATTCAGCACAGATTTAAAGGCACGATGCTTTTTTCTTTTAGCAAACCTGCTATTGGTATGACTGATCCATGACAACAGACCTAGCGCTAGCGAGTGTCTCTGCAGTGTGGTGATATCTGTAATCTGATATGTTATGACAAATCATATACAAATGGAATGGTTGGTCCATAGGTATTTGCATAAATTATTCTCACCACTAAATTACCCAGCGTGAATTCTCCGAACACGAGTTAGTAAAGGTATTCACAGTTGCCAGTCTCTTTTCAAGTATATAGTGCGGCTGCTGCCTCTCGATGTGATGGCCTTGACTGAAGGCTACTTCGGCCACTCAGCCTGTATGTCTCGCAGTAAAGTTTTGGTAATCAGGTCAATTGCTATAATCGTGTAGCAATGTTGTGAAAATCCTGCTGCGAAGAAATAGTTGACTCTATTTCTTTGGTTCTAACCTATTTCACTCTAATTAGTTTTGGTTTGTTTCGGTTTTTTTTTTTGGAAGACATAACAATGGCCGCATTTTCAGGCCTGGAAGCGAAATGGAGTGGCCTTCGGAGGACGAGCCTCGTCTTACCTCTGCTGATACTGTCCTTCACGCTAGGAATTCAAGGAGAATTCATTTTCCAGCAGGATGGTGCGGGGAATTTGAGAGTGACTGTTGACGGGGTGGAGGTATGGCAAAATGTACTTTTCTGACTCTGTCACTAAATCAGTTGTGCTTATGGTGAGGTCGATCTCACTGGCGTAGGCGGGGGTGGAGGGGCGCCCCCGGCCCCGAAGAACTCCCTCCCCTAAGAGCCTGCTACCCCACTGGTAGGCCTACGCCAGGATCACCGGCTTAGCTTTAGTACAAACGCAATCAAGAAATTATTTGGGGTAGTTAAATAGCCGAAAGTGCGACGACGACATTTCCACAGCATCTACCAGTTTCAAAAAAGTGAAGCGTTTTTTGAGTGGTCTAAATCGCTTCACGCAAAAGTCGACTGATGGTGTTTTACTGGATGCTTCCTTTGTGTCTTTACAGGTTATCAGGCATTCCCCGGAGTCGCCATTTCTTTTCGTGGGGAACGGAATTTTCTCGTTCCAGGGGGAGTTTGGTAACTTCGAAGTTCAAGACTACGTCCAGGAGCGTGTCGCCCTCCGGGATTTCATTCTCACAGAGGCGGGAAATGAGACTCAAATCGTGTTCCACCGAGATGGACTCATGAAGGTAATAAATGAAGGTTGCATCCTGGATCGTTGCACATGTAAAATGTACTTTGCGGTAAATTGAAGCTTTGCATGGCAGCCACCTTGGAGGTCAGTTAACTTGTTCCAGCGAGGATATGCACGAATAGGCTGTGTGTGCATGTTTGTGTGGAACAAAAGTACTGACTGACCGGCAAGATGACTGCCACACCAAGATGGCTGCCATGCAAAGCCTCGTCCAATCAGTGATAGTACGAATATTAAGTGTAAAGGGGGAAAAAAGGGAACACAGGGTAAATTGCAAAGGTTTGTAACTTTTAAAGGACATTTTCCCCATCACGAAATCGTGCAAATGCATCAGAATTATTCTTCTTTTCAGACCAACGTAACTTTCTCCAAGGAGGACCACAGCTTGGATGACGTCATCTCTTTTGAGGCTCTTCCTGCTGGCGTCAACCACGTCTGGGTTCGGCTCTTCGCCGAGGCCAGCGAGCACGTGTACGGAGGCGGGGAGCAGTTCTCGTACTTTGACCTCCGAGGTCACACCTTCCCGCTGTGGATCCAGGAACAGGTATAAAAGTCTGGTTTTTGCATGGGGGAGGGGCTTCTCTTGACGGTATCCGTTATTTTTATCTATTTTGTTCGTTTTTTTTCCTAATGAAAATTTGTGGTTTTATACGACGGCACTGGTAACGCTTAATTTTTCTTTTCCCGATTTCGACACTTTTTCGAGTCCTCATTGGACAAAATAATTTTGAAGAATGACACACATCATCATTAACCCTAACCCTCCTCAATCCTCCAACAGGTGAAGGATTCAGGAGGGTTAGGGTTAAGCAGAGAGGGCCACGGCGATAAAGGTACCCACAATGCTTTGCGACGCCGGCACTTCATTAAGATTAGTCCTGTTGTCAGCGCCCTCCTCAGAAATAAGACGCTGGCACCACAAAAATTCTCCTTTTTAACGGGTTACTTTTTGCCCACGCTTTCATGTTTTTCCATCTCTACCTCAGTTCTAAAACAGCTCAAAGATTGCATTTATCCGGATCCTGCCACTCTGAGCTATGGAAGCAATGTTTTGTCAGATCTTAGACTGTCTTTAAATGTCATACAGGGCGTTGGTCGCAACAAAAGTACAGAGGTGACCTTTAAAGCCGACCAGAGGGACGGAGGGGGGCGGGACTACTTCAACACCTACTGGGCACAGCCCACCTTCACTTCCTCGCGCAAGTACAGCTGCCACTTTGACACCACCAGCTACTCCGAGTTCGATTTCCGCCACCCGGACTTCCACGAGGTGCAGATCTGGAACAATCGGCCCGGCAAGATCTACTTCGGCGTCGACGACACTTTCATCGGGCTGGTGGGCAAAGTGACGGCTTTCTTGGGGCGGCAACCGCTGATGCCGCTGTGGACTCAGGATGGCGCCATTTTGGGCATTCAAGGAGGGACGACTGCTATGCTGGAGTACCTTAAAGGGGCACAGGTATATGAGCTTTTAGACGATGGTGTCATATGAAATTTGGACCGGTCTACCTTGAGTACGTGGCCGCTTGTCCTCACGATGGACAGGTTTTCTGAACTTACAGCCATCTCCTCAGTTCGAACCGTCTGAGGCATTCGTGGTTCATCAAACGATGACAAATTTTACAGATTTCAAATTTCACACTTTACCAAAGCTCTAGAAGTTTAAAGGTGTATAAATTGATAACCTGGTAATATTTTCGGAGCATTGTTACTATGGATGATACCACTAAATGCTACTTGACGCTCTATCCGCGAAAATAGAAACTTGCTCAAGGAGCCGGTTTCAAGGAAGTATAACATAAGCATGGTGAAATTGGCGTGGTAAACTATATCAGCATCGTTAAGTTTTGTTCGTTGTTTGTATTAGGGAAATTCGACTCTCGTTAGCGGTCTTTGGATTCAAGATTGGGTGGGCCGAATCACAACCTCGTTTGGTCGAAGGCTGTTCTGGAACTGGGAATGGAACCAGGAACAATATCCAAACTTGGACACGGAAATCGTGCGCCTCCGGGAGCAAGGGGTGCGAGTCTTCGCCTACATCAATCCAAACCTCAACCGTGAGGGGACTTTGTACAAGGAGGCTGAGGGTCAGAACTTCCTGGTCAAGAACTCGTCCGGTCAGACCTATGTGGTGGACTATGGCGAGTTTTTCTGCGGCATCGTGGACATGACCAATCCCGCGGCCTTTGCGTGGTATAAGGGGATCATCCGGAAGAACATGATTGACTTGGGCTTTGCAGGATGGATGGCTGATTTCGGTGAATACCTGCCCACGGACGCCGTATTCCACAGCGGGCAGCCCGGTGAAGAGCTGCACAATCACTGGCCTGTACTGTGGGCCAAATTGAACCGGGAGGCTGCAGAAGATGCCGGCTTGGTGGAAGACTTGCTGATCTGGATGCGTGCAGGGTTTAGCGGCTCACAGCGGTACTGCACCATGTCCTGGGCCGGGGATCAGTTCGTAGACTTCAGCCTGGCGGACGGCTTGGCCTCAGTCATACCCGCTGCGCTCTCGCTCGGCATGTCAGGATACGGGTTGAGCCACTTCGACATCGGTGGGTACACGTCGCTGTTTGACATCGGCCGGACCAAGGAGCTGTTGCTTCGGTATGCCGAGTTTGCAGCCTTCACTCCGGTCATGAGGACGCACGAGGGCAACCGGCCTTCCGCCAACTGGCAGTTCTACTCCGGCACGGACACGAATCTCGCTTTTGCACGTCACACCATGATCTTCAATACTCTCGCCAACTACACCCAAGCTGTGGTCCGCGAAAATACGGAGAGCGGAATCCCGGTACAGCGCCCTCTGTTCATGAATTATGAAAATGACCAGAAGTCGTACAACATTAAGTACGAATATTTATACGGCAGGGATCTCTTGGTTGCCCCCGTGTACAACGAAGGCGTGGACACGTGGTCGGTCTACTTACCCCCGGATAACTGGGTCTTCTTGTGGGATGGCCAGGAGTATGACGGTGGAAGTACAGTTACTGTTCCGGCGCCCTTGGGAAAGATTCCAGTATTCTACAGAAAGGGCTCCACCTGGACAGCAGTATTTGAAAAACTGCCCAAGATTGAAGGTAAAGTTGTGCTTAGATTTTAAATCAGTCAAAAAGTAGCAACCTGTCCAAAAAGTATCTGCTTGTCAAAAAGTAATTGCCTGAGTGTCAAAAAGTAGCTGTCTGTCAAAAAAGTTTCTGCCTGTCAAAAAGTAACTGCCTGTCAAAAAGACGCCTTCTGTCAAAAAGCAGCTGCCGGTTTCAGACTGAGCATAAAGCAGCTATGGACCGAGCAGCTGTTGGCCTGAGACTGGTTAGCATGATATCGGTTTAAAAGTGCCTTTCTCACCATGAGTAGCCGCACGGTCTCAGGCGTTGCTATAGTGCTGGTCAAAATCTAGCTGCTGAACTATTGGTCACTTAGCGTAACTGCAGTGTCTTTGCTCTTTGCAATGATTACACCCACCCACCAGCAGACAGAACAGAGAAAATGATTTCGACTCGCGCACTGTTTGTATGCAGTTTCCACTTACATGTATTTTCCCTATACTCTGATTTTGGCAGTTCCTGAGGACACGTCGGGTGGAGGCCTAGGGCTGAGAGAGGGCGGGCTCCTCCACACTTCCCTCGGCATTGCTGTGATGCTGGCAATTCCATTTCTGTTTACAAAATGCTTTTCTATGTAATTATATTAGGCTTTGACACATAGGTACCACCCAAATTGAACAACAGACGAAATAATTTACTATATATATACCGGTACGTTTGTGGCCCCATTTGGATGTCAAGCACTGGACTTGGAGTTTGGCTTTTCCAGCTATGTACTTTAGCAACATGTATTACACATCACCCCAACCGTTATAGTTGTACGAATAACTGCGACTGTCTGTCTACGCTGCAAAACACAAAATATATAAATAGTCCACAAACTCGCAAAAGGCCACCACTGTAAAGGCTCTTGCTGGAACAAATCATTCAGAAGGTTTAACTTTTGATCCAAAACATCATAGGAATTTTCAGTTCGTTTTCACTGTAATATTGTCAAACATCAATTTTGGGAAATGTAGGCAAAAGTCTTTAGTACCCATTTCATTTTCTATTCAATGATTATTATGATTACAATTGCAGTTTTGTATCTTTACTTTCTCGTGGAATAATTGCCCAGTGGCATTGCCCAATATATTACATCAAGTGAAAGTATCAATTTAAATTGTATCAAATTTTAATTTTGCAATAACTTGCACCTGTTAAATATCTAAACTGGGACCAAAAGACTGAACTCAGTATTTTTCTTAATATATAAAATTGTAAGAACTTCGTGCCCTGTAAATATTTAATTTGTAATCAAAGACTGAAACTTGATTTTTATCAAATAATACAAATTATAACTCAGCACCTGCATATATTCAGATTAATTTGTATTTCTAGTCAGTAATAAAAGGACCTTTTGAAAGGTTTTTATTCTTGGATATTTCTCTTGATTTTTCAAAAATATTGGCTGATAACTTTGCCACCGCGTTGTCAAGTTAAGTTAGCAGTATGATGGCCATTGATGTTGACGTAATCAACAATATCGTGATGGAAACAGAAGCGTCCCTCAGATAACTTTGACTTGGAGAGGCAGTTCAAGAAGCGACTGAACTGCATCACTTATAATGTTTGCATATCCAAGCAATTGATATCATAATAGTTCGGCAAACGTCTCACACACATTAGCCCAAGAAACTCGATCTTTTCCCCAAATCAGGCCAAAATCTGATCCCCAATGTCTCTCAAAGCTACATCCAGCCGGTCCAGGTACAAGTAATTGCAAACTGGGCTTTATTTGAATTCACCCTGATGTACATGTATGTACATGTACAGTACATGTACATGTACATGATCGGTCATTGACACGGCCGGCAGGCACCGCGCTAGCCGCTCGTTGTTTACAACCGAGTCATAAAGCCCCGCCCTATTTCCCCCCAGCATGCATTGATTGGCTCCAAATCAAGTAATCGCATATTCATTTCTCGCGTCCCACAGTCTGCGTTCTGCCATTGGTCACTTACTTATAAATATTCATCATTTAAAAGCTACTAATGCAGCCAGCACCCTTTTCTGAGCCTCTTTCGTTGATAAACCGCCATGCGGAGCGGACGAAGCAGACGAATTCACGCGTGAATGCTGTAAACATGGCACTTGGTCTTTACACATTCTGCTGACTACGGACATAGTGACAGCGCTGTGGCCGTTGTTTAGTGCCGGCAGCCAACACTGTTGTGTACGTTAGCAGACGATATTTCTGGAGCTTTTGTGTCAGCCTTGACTGTGAATTTCATCGATTATCTGCAGTGTAAGTCAATAAAATCTGTGGGATAAAAATGCTCAAAATAGAAGGCTCTGTCATTAATACATGTACAATATCTAGGCGGAGCAGGCTGTTTGAATTTGTTGACGTGATTGGCACAGTTTGAGCATGAAGGTATAGGAATTGCTACGAATTTTCACTTCTTCAGAAATTCGGAAGCAGCTTTCTTTTTGGTTAAAAAAAAATCGGCCTACATGTAGTTATTTATCAAAAAATTTTCCAAGAAATACAATCAGAACACGAGCCTCAGTCGTTTAGCTAAAGGCGTGTTGAACAAACGCACTTGTCATGCTTGTGTCATTAACTGCCAATAACTACTTCAACTATTGCCTTTTCTCATTTAGTAGTGGTTACGTAACTAGTATTATTAGGGGAAACATGGAAAAGGATTTAATTTCTGATCAGCAGTGTGACTACTGCACACCTGCATGTCTAGAAAAAAAGGTGTAAAACTTGGAAGTTGGGCTGATGCAAGAAATCGAATGAGAAGCTGTGAAAAGTTCTTTTGTGCTGTAAGAAACACATTTTGCACAAAATGCTTAACAAAAAAATTGAATCATTTTAAATAGATATGATAACTGGCAATCATTCTGAGTGGAAGATTACATGCACATAGTATGAATGGCGCACAAGAATATTTCACCTTTTTTGTGTCAAAACGTGTGGAAAAAATGTGCCCATTTGGTATCCTTTTTTCCCCCGACACATGTCAGCCCTTTTTTCTGGCCTTCAAACTAAAGTTTTTGAAAAACAACAAGATTATTTGAAGTTTACTCTGTCGATATTGATAAACAAAAGTCTTTGGAGACTTTGCCAGCCCTGTTCTTTTATTAATAACATCACACTTGTGGGAAAATTGTATGGAATGTGTCCAGCCTGGAATTGTTTTGGAAATACATATAGATGGCTGCATTGTTGCAATAGTTCTCCTAGCAAACAAGTCGCCGGAATTAAATGTCAAATGGTGAGGTCTGTTCTCCACAATTCATTTGATGAAGGCTTGTATTTTCCTGCTCAAAGAAGTTGCTTTTTTCGCATTGTTGTAATTGAGACCTCGAAAAACCATCGCAAGACCCTAACAAGAATAACACCAGACCTCCACTTTGAATTCAAGTCGCAAGCTATTCAGATAAACTGGAGCAAAAGCATTCCTTTGTCAGGTTCGTTACAGTTACCAGTGACTGGTCCCAAGAATGGTGGTGGGCGTGGCTTTGTGTTTGGTCTTGAAAATGGTGTTGTGATGATCTCACTACGGTTTTGGCCAAATACATACATAAGCATGATAAGTATTGGATTCAGCACTGTAACACCTGGATTGATCTTGTAAGCTGTATCCTTACAGGTTCATTACCTGTTTCCGCCCACCATGAATCAGTCACACCCACCCACCGGCACAATGAGCTCTGCAGTGAACGGGTCGGCCAGGCCCAAGAAGAGACACTCGGACAGCAGCAGCAGTGGGAGCGAGTCTTCCACCACCCCCCTGTCTGTGTCCAGGAGCCCCTCCCCCAGTAACACCCCGCTCATCGACCGGATCGCCCAGCGGATCGCCTGCAAGGACAAATGGTTCTCGCTGGAGTTTTTTCCACCGAGGACAGCTAATGGAGCTGTGAACTTGCTGGCAAGGTAGGTTACATAACCTCTTACCTGAAGCACCTGTTTGGAAACACTGCAGACATATCATATGATTCTCAGCAGTTTGGTATGGTATAGATATACCGACTAATGTATACTTGACTCAATGGATATTTTTTTACTTGTAATAAGGGATGCTGTTGTTCTTTTGTGCTTCAGTTGAAAAAGTGGGATAATTTCTCTTTCAGCAACCAACGTAATTGTAATTTAGCAGCATTTTCAAACTTTCCTAAATTTTTATTTGTACCCAGAAAAAAAACACCACATTTTCCAGAGACATAAATAACAAAAGTCGTGAAAGTTATGTCTTCATACGTAAATGAGTTCCAAGACTTCTGGAGGCCCCCTTACAGTCTGTTCCTTGTCCACTTTTCCATAATTTCGTTGATAGCGGGTATTTTCAAGTGAAATGTTTGAAAACCGTGAAGGATCTTGTTGGTAATGTGCTGCGGATTGTATCGCCAGATTGGAACGCATGCACGTGGGCGGTCCCCTCTTCTGCGACATCACCTGGCACCCAGCCGGCAACCCGGGGGGCGAGACGGAGACCAGCTCCATCACCATAGCGACCAGCGCCATCAACTACTGCGGCATTGAGACCATGCTGCACATGACCTGCGTCAACCAGACCCGAATCGACATCACCAAATACCTGAACCGTGCCAAGGACTGCGGAATCCGGAATATTCTGGCACTCCGTGGAGGTACTTTTGTCATGTATCAAACACGTCAGGCCAACTTAGGCGCAGATATTTGAATGAAATAAGACATGCAACCATAACGTTCTAATAGACTTTTCACCTGTCCCATTGTGCTCTACACGTGAGTGCTCAAAATAGCCCAGTCATTTTTTGTTTCAGTTGTCAAGTTCAAGCCTTTTATGTCGTGTCAAAATATTGCCAGAATTCACAATATTTGAAATGTCCGTCCGCTCTGATTTCAAAACACATCCAGACCAGTTTTTTGTATTGAATTTTGAGCGAATTCAATGCCATCTTTTATCTGTGCTTGAGTGTTAGAGATAAGTTTTGACCCATAAAGTCCTCTGAAGTTTGAATGCCAATGGCACTGTTGTTGCCACATGTGCCAGATTTTGTGTGATATTCCATACTATTTTACCCTTTGAGGTGATGTTTGTCGATACTTTGTCAAATATTTACCTCTGGTGGCCAATTTGTGACCTTCAGAGACAAAAACCAAGTCTAGTAGCGTGAAAACAACCTCCAGTGTGTTTGTGTACATGGGCCATTGTCCAAAGGTATTTTGTAGCCCGTCAGGAAAGATATGGTTCCCCCCTTGATGTGAATCCAAATGCCCCATTTGTTGGTTCAAGGAGACATAGGCCTAGATAACAAAATATTGTAAAAAGTAAATATCATGACCAGCGGTGCCAGGCATGATGGAATTTTTATCGACAATTGTTATAAACATTAAATGCTAATCATGAATAAACTGTCGTGACAGACTAGAATCTTTTGACAAAAACTACAAAGGGAGTCTTTTAGGCATTGTTTTAATACTCTGGGAAGTCATGTAAGTGAGGGGAATTTTTCCCCAGGGGACAAATAACAGGTTTGGGGAATGTAGGAAAATGTGTATATTACTTGATTGCAGCAAAATCACAGGACAATTCATTTGCAGAAGCGCAGACAATTGGCTGACAAAAGTTTCGAGAAAGTTTCCTGTGGGCCACAAAATCACTGCGCAAATTGGAGTTTATTATTAAGTTGTGATATTGTGTGCCAGTTTTTTGCCTGATGTCTCATTGGAAAACTCACAACAAATACATATCCTAGAAAATTATCAACTTCATTGAAAAAGCCATTCTTGGAGGAGCCCCATCCAAAACCACAGATAATACTTACATGGAGTTAAAATTAATTGAAATTTAAATAAGTTCATTAAAAAAAGGAACAAGAAAAGGTAAACCGCGATGGTACTTGGTCATTCTCAATTCACAGATGTTCCTGGAGATTTGGAGTGGCAGAAGTCGGATTCAGAGGACACCTTCAACTATGCCTTGGATCTAGTCCGATACATCAAGAAGATGTTTGGCGACCACTTCTCCATCTGTGTGGCTGGTATGTGCTCTTTGCAACAGCGGACAACAGCACAGTTGTACTTAAAAACCAAAGAGTCACACGTCTTGACTCACTGTGGCCATGGTAACCCTTTCATTTTCAAAGAGTAAAAGATAAGCTCTTGTTAAAACATTGTGTGCTTCTGCTTCTTTTCTGGTCGGTGTTGCTAGGTTATCCCGGAGGCCATCCTGAGGCGGAGAGCTACGAGGAGGACCTGAAATACCTCAAGAGGAAGGTTGACGCGGGGGCTGACTTCATCATCACCCAGCTGTTCTTCAAGGCCAAGGAGTTCCTCCAGTTTTACAAGGACTGCCGAGCCATCGGGATCACAGTGCCCATCATTCCCGGGGTCATGCCCATCCAGGTAAGGGTTGGGCCCAGTCTCTCTGGTGAAATATACCTTGTCATTCAAATCATGACAATCCTTTTCTGACAACACTTTCCCTCTGTGGTCCTGTATAGAAGAATTTGTCTTTGAAGCCGACACCAGCAAGCTGGGTAATACATCTGCACTTGTAAAGTAGTAGGTCATGGGTTCGAATCCCACTGGAGTAAGCTTTTGCAGTATTTTCAAGCCCCTCCAGTACCGAGTGTCTAGTGTTTCAAAAGAGACATTGGTGAAGGGTGATACACCCTCCTCCCCAAAAAGCCGAGTGCTGTGTTGTAAATACTCGCCCAAAGCCAATGTGATGGGGAGAGTTATTTGTCTTCGTTTCACGGGCCACAGGGGTACAGCTCCCTGCGCAACCTGGTCAAGCTGTCCAAGCTGGACATACCCGAGGACATCCTGAAGGTGATCGAGCCCATCAAGGACAACGACGCAGCCATCAGGAACTACGGCATCCACCAGGCGGTCACCATGTGCAAGGAGATGTTTGACAGGTGGGTCCCAATGAGCGTTGTGCCCAGATACCGGTTCTTAGGTCGGACGGGTTGTAAGTACATGCGGGCGCACTTGTTGAAAATTGATGCAGCCGTAGCTCCGAATGTTGGTTCCAGACACAGCTTAATCTGATCAACAGTAGCAGATGCCTCCCACTGGCCAGTATAGTCGAACCTCATTTATAAGAGGTCCTCCAGAATTTGCAGATTACCTTGTTCTAACAGGAACCTTGTATTTCCAAGAAAGCGAAAGGATGAAGAGCAAAGGGTTAGAATGTCCTTGTTGTAAGCAGAATGTTGTGTATGTATTAACCACTTGCCACCAGGGTTTCTGGTACCGGACACGGAGGCTTTATACATGTGGCTGGGGTCTCCGAAATCGGACAAAGGGAACTGGGCCTTGTAACAAAAGACCGTACTCGGAACAAAAGACCAGGCTCCTGGGCATTACCAACATTTTTTCACTCTCAATAGTAGAGATAATCCAGCCTTGTTTTGAAACTGTATACCACGGTTTTGGGCATTTAGTGCGAGCGGATTACCAGCGGTGACAAAAGCGCTCCACCACCGCAGCGATGAGCCACGCAGCACCGCTGCATGCTAATCTGGCCCCAATTGAAAAGAGGTCAGCAGCACACTGCGCTAGGTTCGTGAATAAAAGAAAGTTACATAACACCGCACAATCTGGACTCTTTTTACAAGGCTGCAGGCCTGGCTGAAGTACTCGGGCATCAACAGATTTTGTCTGTCAGACTGGAGTAGCCACCAGACAGTAATTCGTGTGGGTGTAAACGTCCATTTATTGAAATGATGAATTTTTGAAAAATTTTGAAAACTGAAAATCTTGAAAATGTCCCAATAATGTGCACTGCATATTTCAAATCACCCAGCAGCAAGTGATTAATAGTGCTCTTATGATTTGCTTCCACATGAGTGGCCACTTTATAGCAAGGAAAGTAACAGTATTGCCTTAATGTTTGGAGCTTCCTGACAAATTGAACGAATTTTTACGTCACTTGCTTCATGTACCAGAGCTCAGCTGCCTTTGATCTTAGAATTACACTACAATATTATAGAATCAATTTGTTTCTGTTTCACATCAGTCGATTCCTTGATCTTTGCTAGGTTTTTCTTAATGAAGCAATTCAGTGGTTCTGTGAGGCAAGGTTATTTAGGATAAGCAGCTAATGTCGTACCAGCTCGGACAAAAATGAATATGGCCGCCTTGATGGGTCCGGTCTTGAGCATTTATACTGATTATCCGGAATTAACCACACCTTGCTTCATTTTCGGTATTGGCTGTCGGAATACCAAACGGGTTCACTGGCTGGGTAAGTTCACAGTTGGTAGCCTTGTCTGTTATCGTTTTCAGCGGTGATGTTCACGGCCTGCACATCTACACGCTTAACCGTGAGGTGGCCACCATTGAGATCTTGAAGCGGCTTGGCCTGTGGAATGAGGACCCCATACGGCCTCGCCCTCTACCCTGGAAGACCACCGCCAACCACATGAGAACCAAAGAGGATGTGAGACCAATTTTCTGGGCCGCCCGACCCAAGAGTTATATTCACAGGTGTGTGGCCACAACCTCCAACCCCCCCATAAAGATTTTGATGTATTGAAATGCTATGGTTGCAGTGATAATTTTGTAATATTTGCCCAATTTTTTAAACCTTCCAAGTAAAAAAGATCAAGGAAACTTTTGTGTTGAGCAAAAGGGAGCAGAGAACCAGCCTGGAGTAATATACTTCACATGGCACTTAAGCCGGTAACCTCCTTTACTAACCATGTATGATTTTACACTTAGCAAACTGACACATCCACAGCTCTGATCCTGCATGTACTGCACGCGGTACTGTGACTTATGATCATGAATAAGCTCCGACAAAAGTTGACCATTTTTTTCCCGGCCCCAATCCAGAACCAAGGATTGGGACGACTTCCCCAACGGTCGCTGGGGCGACTCCTCCTCCCCGGCCTTCGGCGACCTCAAGGACTACCATCTGTTCTACCTCAAGAGCAAGTCCTCCAAGGAGGAGCTGCAGCAGATGTGGGGGGAGGAGCTGGCGTGCGAAGAGGACGTCTTTGAGGTCTTCAAGTGCTACCTGGACGGGGAGCCCAATCGCTATGGCCACAAGGTAGAATGTTGGGCAGATGAAAACTCTTTGACTTCTGTAGAAAAGTGCCAAGTTCTTTGTAATGTGTATGGTTTGTTAGAACATGATACAGAATCTTAAACCTCAAAGATTTAGGTCTCTGTCGTTCAAAGCTAGCCAGTAACAACAGGTGAATTTTGGGGACACAACCTTCAATTAATTTCAATTCCCTTTCGTCAGTAATCATGAGGTCAGATGTTTGCAGTGTGAGATTGTCATACACCCCCACAGCAGGTACCCGTTTACACTTCTGACGGAGGAAGACAACTGTGCTGGTGCCTTCCCCACGAACACACTCTCTTTGATACCTGTCAGATTCAAAATTGCATACTGCAACAAGAGTCAGATTGACTGCCGGGCTAGTGATACTCTGCCCGGTACCCCTGGTTGTTTTCAGTATCTCATCCAGCCAACCTGCCCAGCTGTCCAGAGGATAGGCGGCGGTCACTTAGGACAGGCAGTTTTTTGCTTGTGCCAAATAAGAAAAAAAATTCATTTATTACACAGATCTTCAACACTGGTGAAGGAATCTCAAGATTACCCACTTCGTGTCGGGGAGCTCGGTTTCCAGCACAGAGGCTTTATACACGAAACCGGGGAGCCCGAAACCGAAACCGAACAAAAGAGCTGGGCCTTGTAACAAAAGACTGTTCTCGGAACAAAAGACCGAGCTGCTGGGAATTGCCGACATTTTATCAGTTGTCAATAGCAGAGGAAATCCATCATTGTTTTGAGAGATTATATCACTGTTTGTGGCATTCAGCATGAGTGGATTACCGCCAGGGACAAAAGTGCTCCAGTGATGAGCGATACAATACCGCTGCGCGCTAATCTGGCCCCAGACAGTCATCCGTGTGGGTGTAAACATCCAGTAAATGAAGCTATGATTTTTTAAGAATTTTGAAAATGGAAAATCTTGAAAACCCCCCGGGTTTTACGTCATGCTACACCGGGCAGCAAGTGGTTACCACTCAGAGCACTGGGTGCGTTTCTCGGATAGTACCAAGGGGAATCAGTGGTCAATTTGTCTGAGAGTAGACTGGACGTTTTTAACCCTGGTTCGTCTCGTGTCCAATATCTTTTCTCTCCATCACACACTTGTAGGTGAAGCGCATGCCCTGGAACGACGACGAACTTGCCTCCGAGACCTCCCGTCTGCGCGACAGGCTGATCAGCATCAACAAGCGGGGCATACTGACCATCAACTCACAGCCTGCGGTCAACGGGGCTCCGTCCACGGACCCGGTGGTGGGATGGGGAGCCCCCAACGGCTACGTTTACCAGAAGGTACTTTGACCCCAGTTGTCTTAGATTTGAAAAAAAAAACCTGGCCCGAACGTCTTAGCTCAGAGATAACTCTGTCATTGGTCAGTGCAAATCTAGCAAAAAGGAGACGACTGGGGTGGTTTGGTCATGTGACCCAGTCCGCAGCAACCTGTGCCAGCATAATCCTTCAGGGTTCAGTGGTGGGTTCACAGGAGCTGTGACTCTGTGAGGTCTACCTCAGCTGTGGTGATTGAGTGATGCTTAAAGAGTGGAGAGGCCCTACCACCGTGCAGCTTATTTGGGCTGTAGACGCTAGGGTAAAATGGAGAGGTATAGTCATAGATGCCAGGCTGCCCCCACGGCCATCCGGCCGTTGGACATGCTGATATTTTCTATGGTAGTAATTAGAACCTTTAGCAAGCTACGTGACAGGCAATCTTAGACTGTGGAATCTTTGGAATCGCTTCTTGACAGGCCTACCTGGAGTTCTTCACGTCTCGAGAGAACGCAGCGGCCCTACTGGACGTGCTCAGAGACTATCCCAGCGTGACGTACCACGTGGTGAATCATAACGTAAGTCGGCCCTCACTCCCGAGCTTCAAAACAGTCCCATACATTGAATGTCTAGCTGGCTACATCAGGTAGACTCTGACCTGAAAATCTGTCATTTTGACAGCAAATCTAACGAGGTCGTAGCGAGTGTAGTCCTTGTCTATCTTTTACAAAAAGAGCAGTCATCTGCTGCACCAATAACGTGTTGACTGAAAAACGGCGCGAAGCACACAGAGGCACAGCGAAGGTCACCACAGTTTCTCATTTGAATAGTAACCATCATGTAGTCCAGAATTCGGTTGAAATAGATGGACCTGTGAAGCAGAAAAATACACCTGCTTTCACTGGTTAATGCAGACAAGTACAATTTTTTATTTAATGCTGATCCCTGATGTGAGTTTGGCCGAGTGTTTCAGAAGACGCAGAACTAATCTTTTCACCAACTTTCAAAATACAAAACCAAACCAACTTTGCACAGGGCAAGGAGGATATCACCAACACCGACAGACAGCAGCCGATTGCCGTCACCTGGGGCGCGTTCCCCGGAGCGGAGATTATCCAGCCGACCGTCGTCGATCCCATCAGCTTCATGGTGTGGAAGGTGGGTTCTTACGAACAAACAAAACTACCTTTGCTTTTAATTAGGTGATTAAGCCAGGCCTTATTTCAACCTTCCTTCCTCCAGCATGCACTTCACACTCTGTGGCCAGAATGTTTCTTCAGTTGCAACTGTTTTCTGTAACCTGGGGGGAGGACATTGTTTTCTGACATTCCAGAAACTGGAACAAACATTTTGGTTTAGACCGCATGTTTGCATGGCATGCGTTACACAAGCTTTCACTTTTTAGGTTTTGCCGCTTTTTTCTTGACTTGACTTTCTTGTGTTCTTTTATATTTTTGTGTAATTGAGCTAACCATGAAAAGGGACATTTTTATTTCGGTAATGAAAATAATTGATCAGAAATTTGGATCAGCAGGACAAAAGGCGGGTAGTGGTTTTGCGCCAAGACGCTCAACTTTTGTTTTTTGTGGACATTAGCCGCGATGCCACGAACTGGCATTTTGATTTGCAGTTGCTCCTATCATTTACTGACCTTTTAGGGTTAGGGGGCTTGTCCGTTCACATGGCAAATGGGAAAGAGTGACGTTGACCTTGATTCTCCTGCTTTGGAGTGGTTTTTATGAATTAACGTGGATAAACTTGATATTTGGCAGCTGTTAAATAATGCAGCGTATAAAATAGATGATCCGGTTTGAGAATCATTTTATTTTAATATTTCCAAGGCAGGTTTTGCTTATATTTTTCTGTCGCTTGATTTTTAGGGACTTGTATCTAATTTTTGCATGTTCTCAAGGGATTTTCTCCACCAAAGCAATTTAGTTGGGATATTTAAGTGGCATGTTAAAATCACGGGGGAAAAGCCCTTTTATTATAAAAATTGGCTTGGATGGCAAAAACAGTTTGGTTTATTTTGGTATGTAAAAATGACAATTTTTGTACTTCAGTAATACAGGCATTTCACAATAGAGCGCTACCAAGAGTTTGCAACACGTTGGCCAATGACATTGTGCAAAATCTGTCGACCCAGTGCACGTTTGGAAAGGGTGGATAGATTTTGCATGTTGTGATTGGCCAAAGAGTTGCAAACTCTTGGTGGCGCACTATCGTGAATCGCCGTATTGCTGGATTAAGACTGTATTGCATGGCTGTTTAATGTATACTTTCACATCAGCACTGACCCTTACAATCTTCAGCCTCGATTGTACATCAACATGAAGGTGGTGCAGGGAGATACAAGAGGCTGGCTATTACCTTTCCCGAGGAGGGGGTGAGACTTGGGCGGTAGTTGGTAGTTACTGCCCACTGGCAAATGAACAGCCAAACTAGTTTTTCTCACAGCAGGTTCCATTTTTAGCTTCCTTTGCCCTGTAGTTTGTATTCATGGTCTTGTATCGTGGGTTGTAAAGTTCTATGAACTTCATTGAAATTGCTTTATTTTAGTCACGGTAATGGGTGTAGCGTTTCATGGATGATAACATTTCCCCAACCTTTTTTACTCAGTTCCCCTGAATCTTCATTCAAACCAGCATCCACTTATGGGAGAATGCACAGTTCTCCTCTTCGTCTGCCCATCTCGTCTCATTCCAACCCCAAGCAAATGTGGCATTGTCTGGGTTTCACATCGCAAAATGTCATCAAATGGTCTAAATGTCTCATAAATGAAGTGCTGTGCATTCTTCTTTTGTTGAAGTTGTCACCAAAGGTGCCTTGACGCAGATTTTCGGTTTTTTGCCCAAACCAGGTCTTAATTTTTTGCAAGTTGCACAGAAAGGATGAACATTTCAGTTCCATTTGTGTGGAAACAAAGGCTTGAAAATTCAATGTCTTGGAATTAGGCTTGGCCTGCAACTTTCCTGGGTTGTGAAAAAACGATAAAAATGCCATTTGTCAGATTATATGGACACCTGAAGGTCCTTCAGAGTCTGAGCGACTTTATTCTTCTCGCACCTGTTTTTCAATGCTCACAAGTTTATTTTCCTATTTGGCATTTCCTTTTCCGTCTACATATGGCTCCTTATTTCCTCTGTATACATGTCATTTTCCCCCCACTATGTGGACCTCCCAACCCTCACCTTTCCGATCCGTTCACCCACCTCAACTTCTGACTCATGTACACCCCTGACCACAGACACTGTCCTCTTTTCTGCAACTCACTAACCTCTCTCCCGCCAATCTGATCCCGGTTGCATATGGTAGAAGGGACATTAGCTCAGCTTGGTCAGAGCGTGCGTTCCCCAGAGTTCGCACAGGCCGTGGGTTCGAATCCCGCATGCCCCTCTATAGCCATATCAAGATGGGATCATCTGCCACCCTTCCTGATAACTGCCTCTGCTTCATTCCTCCAACTCCTTTATATCTCTTACCCTAATGTCCCATTGTCCAATACGTATCTGATGTTCATTACGCACTGGCTTGGATTTCAATCCTTAGAAGTCTTTGATGTTGGGAGTCACAAAAGAGACGACTGATCAAAACTATTTAGTCAGGGACAAGTACATGTATGTTAATGTCTTTCAGCTGAAGAAAATTCTTGCTATATGTGAATAATCATCGTCAAATTTGGACTGGTGTGCAACATCGGTCTGTGTTTGTATAATTACCCTGGTGGCTTATTTCTTAATTTCATTTTTCTGTACAGAAAGTGTTTTTAAGAATGATCACCTTTTAGCGGAATTTCAGCGATGAAAACTTACTTCTTATACCCACCTATCCTGAAGTCACTCCGATATTTATCGGAGGAACCTAGGTATAGTTTTAAAGACCAGAAATAATTTTGAGCATGTTCATGACTTATAATTTGTGGGGATTATTTGAGACGTGATCTGCAAAAACCCTTCACATGGTGAGCTTTGTCCTTTTTTTGCATATCAACTTCAAATTAATCTGGAAACTGTCCAGTTTTTTTGAAACTGTTTAATTAGTGATTCCAGAAAACCTAGATTCATGTTGTAGACAACCTGGAGTCACAAATGTACTCTGTCTGAAAATAAGAGCATGTCCATATTAATTGGAAGTTTATATGCACCCAAATGACAAAGCTCACATTGTGAAGGGTTTTTGCAGATCGCATCATGATTGGATGAGACCTGAAATTAATTTTTTTCTTTCCGTATTAAAGGATTTTGACCTTTTTACAAGTGTGCTTTTACAAGTGTGCTTAGGTATCGCAATGCTTAAGTGACGCAGTTTCCATTGTATGGAGGAAAACTGTACACGTTGAGGTAAAACCTGACACCAACAGAGGGCGATATTTCTGCAAAATTTAGAATTGATTGTTGCATCCACATGTTTTTTTCCACTTAGAAATTCAGCACACAGGACCAGTGCGTAAAGGAACCCCTTTCCAAGGCTAAATAAATCGGGTTATTTCGGAACAATCTGTGTTGTTCTCTTGTGACGGTGCAAATTCACTTAGTATGTAGAATTCTCACACAGCTGTCAAAATACCAAAATACCGAATGAAAATATGACCCTCTTTGTTAAGTATTTAGGCAAATTGTACAAGTTGAGATAAAATCTGTCACCAACAGAGGGCGATGTTTCTGCAGAATTTGGAATTCCATTGGAATAGTATGTAAGAGGCCAGGGGTCTGTTAAGCTGCTTGGAATTATTTTTCCCCTTTGTTCCCAGTTTTTGATTGCATGCCTCTTCAAGCTTGGCTCCCCAGTTTTGAGAAAGTTCCCCACTCCTTTTTTCACTTCCCTGCCCCACCAGGACGAAGCCTTTGGGCTCTGGAAGCACCAGTGGGGCCACATCTATTCGGAGGGCTCGCCCTCCCGCCAGATCATCAACCACATCCATGACACCTTCTACCTGGTCAACCTGGTCAACAATGACTACGTCCAGGATGACTACCGCCTCTTCGAGGTCTTGGAGAAGATGCTGGCTCGCAAGGAGGAGCGGCGGCGGGAGGAGATTGAAGGGCCGGACCTGGATGAGGAGATCTGCTCCAAGAAGCTCAAGATTGACTCCCAGAGTGCCGCCTCGACAGAAGGCATCCCATCCTCTGTGGTCATTCCGTAGGATGGATCGTTCTCCCTCATCTGCACGGAAAATTCCGGAAATCTCCCACTCGCCCGTGACTTGTACAGATAAAATGACCCTGAAATTTGGTTGTTCCTTGTTTAAAGCCTAGCTTTGGTCATTCTTGGGAAGGATCAGGTATTGCATGGATCTAGTTTATGCTGTTTAATGTTGTAAATGTTGCAAGTGTGCGAAAACCCTGCAAGGTGAAAGCTCCCATTTCTAAACTGGTTCCCCACCATCCTTTCCATCAAAATACAGGAGTGTAACAGTGACGGCCCAACTGCCACAGAATCACAGAGCCTTACCAGTGGTGTATTCAAGTCCATCCCGAGTCGTTTCGCAAGTTCAGTCACAAGGCCAGTCGTAAGTAAGAGGGTGAACAATGATTGATGACTGCATTGTATCTCAGTTCATTTGAATAGCTTGTGAATTGGCTGAAGACTGAATGACTTGTGATGGACTTACAGGGACTTGTGATGGACTCAAATACGGAAGTGACTTAATACTAGCCCGTGAAACCTGGTGCGCTACTTTTTTTCAGTAGCTGGGGTGACCAATGATTCATGAAGAGGGGACAATGCAATACACCATTTAAGACATTTCAAAAACGCGAACCATTACGTCGCTTCGGTAGCTTAGTTGGTAGTGATTTGAACTACAGATCCATAGTCCCTGGTTCGAATCCAACCTATTTATGCTATTCATTTTCCAATTTTATCATTGTG